AACACTTAACATAGAAAAGACCTGCTACATCTTATTTGGAAGCAAATCTACAAATGCAATTCAGCTTCAGATAATGTAAACATTAGCAATAAAAATGATGGGAAGTTTCTTGGCCTATTCCTAGACGAGACAACTTCAGTACCCACATAAAACACATAACTAAGAAAGTCTCTAAAACAGTTGGGATACTCTCCAAAATCAGATATTATGTACCTAACTCTGCTCTCATCTCTCTATATTATGCACTAATCTATCCCTATCTTAATTATGGTATCTGTGCATGGGGTTCAACAACTGCAACCCACCTCAAGTCCATCATCACCCAGTAAAAATCTGCTATCAGAATAACAAATTCTGCTTTCAGACAACACTCGGCCCCCTTGTTTAACTCCCTAAAGATGCTAAACAATCTCACTCCACAAAATTCTCTTGTCAATTACATTTACAAAACCCAGTCCTTAAATGCAAATCCTGCTCTGAAACTCTCCCTGGACAGATGCAATAGGACCCATTATCACCATACCAGAAATAAATATCTCTGACACCCAGAGTCAAACTTAATCTGTGCAAACACACTATGCAAATAAAGGGACCCAGTCTATGGAACTCGCTCCCTTATGAATTGAAAAGCTGTCCTACTTTTGCGACATTCAAAAACAAAACTAAAAAGTACCTAATTTCATCTTCATAGTTTTTTACTTTTTGCTTTAAAATTACACTACCTATTGCTACCCAATCTGAACATCTTTACCATTGTGATCATGTGCTATCAATCTGCTGTATGGTGTCTATTAATCGTTTAAATTACCTATCAAGTTGTCAATGTAATCAGAGCTTTAATATACCAATGTGCTTTACTATACTTACTAATCTGATCTCATTTTTTTCTTGCAATGTATCTTATTTTATTAATTCTGCTAGAATTTACCTACTTAAAATTATGTTTGATTAAGGACCTGCCCGAAACGCTGCGCGTACTAGTGGCTTTACAAGATTGTAAATACTATGCTATGTATTCTCACAAACCCAATGTACCTTCTTTTATATATAAATAAATAAATGATAACATCTTCGCTTGACAGCGCAATGGTGTACGTCATCGTTGTACGCAACTATTTAATTCCAGTGGCAGGAAGACACTATCGAGTAACATTCTTTCACCAGATGCCTCTGTTCACCCTGCAGTAAATACAGGTCGTGGGAAAATGAAGTAAAGAATTAACGTCGATTAATAGTTACTTTAACATGTTTTATCCAGCTTTGAATAGACGTCTGTTGTGGGTTGCAATTTGGAAATGTCATAAAGGGTTACATGTATAATTTAAAGTTCAGGCTTCCTGTTTCCGACAACGGAAAATAGTCAATTGGTTATAAAAGTTACAGGTTGCTACAATACGATCAGTTAATAGTTTGACAGAAAACTGCACAAATGAAGATTGAAAACTGGGTCTGAATCTGAACGATGGTACAATGCAGTCGCAGCAAGCAACCTTAATTATATGGACGTAAAAGGGGCTAATTAGTTATCAAAAGAAGGCACCAAGCCGGGGAGATAGTGTACACCATTAGTGTTACTGGATATTCAAAAGGCGCAAAATATCCGCAGATGCCAATACGAAAACAAAATATGGCGAACGATATCAAAGGTATCAGATTCGCCAAAGATTTTGTCGAGGGACATCAGGAAAGAAAAATACGATCGTCCTGAAAATCGGGTCATTCCTTAAGGAGGTGGACAACTGCAAGTGGGACAATGCAGTTTAGACAGTAAAGAACAGAGCGAGCGTATGAGGAAGGCTACACTACTCGGATGTAGAGTACGCAGCTTGTTACCAGTATGCACAACCGTAAGAGGGACAATGCAGTTTGGCGCTCCATAAGTGCCCGCGAGTTCAACGTGTATGGCCAATACGTAACCTCGCCAGAGCCTTTTCCCACCACCGGTTACGGTGGTATGAGGAAGGCATGGGGGATACACTACTCGGATGTAGAGTACGCAGCTTGTTACCAGTAACAGACGACCAACGACACTGCCAACGGACAAGGATGGAGGAATGAATAACTGGGTAGAAGTCGGAATAAGGAATACCTGAACGGGAGATAAGAGCGGATAGCCACCTTAGCGGCAGCGTCCGCACACTCATGTAACACACCAATATGGCTGGGAACCTAACAAAATTCCAGTCTTAAATATACTAGAGATAAGAAACTGCCAGCGTTGAATTTAGACTACCACAGGATGGACTGGACTAAAGGACTCCAGAGCCATGAGGGCACTGCGAGTCAACTATAACAACAAAGGAGGATTGACAACGAGAAAACAGTTGAAGAGCATACAATGTAGCATAAAGTTCTGCCGTGAAGATGCTAGTCACTGGAGGCAGGAGACATAGATGTGGTCATGAAAAACAGTAACCTACACCGTCTGCAGACTTAAGACCCCATCGGTGAAAACGGAAATGGAGGAGAGTGAAGAAAAGTAAAGCTGGGATGCATAGGGTTGAATGACTAGGGCCATGAGGGCACTGCGGGAGTCCAACCAATCTTCCTAATAGCGCGTTGCATACTTTACCAAAGGTAAAAAATAGTCGTACTAGAAAATGGTAGCGGCTCGAAAGTAAAAGTAAAGAAATAAAGTCCCGTTTTATATTTTGGGTCCTCTGGTAGGTTCTGGTACGACTATTTTTTACCTTTGTGGCTGTGGGGAGTCAGCCACAATGTCAAAAGGAACGTTGACGTAGGGAAAGCTGATGACAAAGCGCATAAAAGATGGCAAAAGTTCAGCCGTAAAAATGCTAGTCTCTGGGAGGGAGGCGGAACATATAGGAACAAGACTTAAGGTAATCTCGACCAGGCCTCTTTTTTTTGTTACACATCCTAGTGTTAATACTCAATGTTTACATATCGGTTACGAACTACTGTACCAAATTATAAAGATTAAGGTGCCAACGTATGTCACACACTAATGCAGATAATTAAATCGTGCACTTTCCGAGGAGAGTACTTAAGCAATGAAACCAATTTGGATACACAGCAGTGCTGCTACTCTACCATATATAAGAAATTAGAACATGGAAGAAAGCAGATTATGTTGAACCCAATATGGTTGGTCAGACACGAGGAAAAATGGGAGAGGCTGTATCATGACCATTACTTTTGTTGTGTCAACCTGCAACATTACCTCCATGGCTTATTCAGTATTTTTGCCAATGTTTTCAGCAGAGGGTTGGGAAAGTTTACAAGTGTAGAACTTGGTAGTCAACTTGGGATTAATGATAATGTTAATTGTCGAGCATACTTGACAAGATACCAATGCTTTTAGAGCACGTTTTTTTATATGTGGTGATTACAGGATGGGCTTACAACTTTGGGAAGATGGTGGATAGACAAAGATGCAATAGTTGACATCTTCCCCTGGAAGAAAGCGATTTTGCTCGTGTTCATGCTACAGGATGGGCTGTTCCATTTTGTGCGATGTAGATTGGCCACCATCCCTGCCACAAATTGAACAAGAAAGTAAACCCCAGAACATTGGAGGTATATCCTAGCACTGTCGGATACCACATCTACAATCATCACTACCTTCTCTACCTACATTTAATCATGTAGCAAATATGCTGGATTAATCTTAAAAAGCTGATATTTTAGCAAGATTGGAATGGTATAATTTAGCAAGATTGGAATGGTATAATTTGTAATATCATGCAAATGAGGGCATGACCATCAAACTGGACCCCAATCAATCTTGTATCTGGAAAGGCAAGATGAGAACATTTGTTTTCAGCTTCCTTCCCAAGTGAAGGACATAAGAAATGTTAAGATTGTGAATCTCAATCTGTACCTCTAAAAATGAGACAAGAGGTATATCACCTAACATACAGAGAACATGGGAGATACTGAAGGCCAGGTCCCAAGTGTGCACAGTGAAATAACATTCTGGAGAGAACAATATGGAAGAAAATGCAAAATAATATCAGTGAAGTGAGGACAGTGTCTTACCACAGTAAAAAAAATATCAGAACAAGAATGGAGGTGTTCAAGAAATAATTAGGCAAGTCCCTGCGACAAGTGCTAAATCAACCGGTTTTAATGGATATTTGGGTCTCTGAGCCAAAGCCAATTGGACCAAGTTTGCATAAGTCAAGCCTGGCCTCAGGCCTTGCCAGTCAAACTCTCAAACCCCTTCCAGGTACAGAACAGACTGCTTGCAAAAATATAAAAAATGGATATAAAATATATCCATTGTAGGTGTAATGGGTGTAGGTGTATGCAATTTCTTGACATGAGCAAGGACAAAAAGAACTAGGGGTAGCTACCAACTTAGTGTCTTCAGTCTTAAGCAATGTCACACAGCATATAAAAGATTTCTAGTGTATCTTAAAGAATCTGGCATATAAACACGTGTACATATGCAGACAGCAAGTCACAATAACGTGGCTGAAAATTAAAGACACCCAACCCACCCATCTGACATAACAGAAGTGACTACATTTTGGTCTGTCCTGGATTATTATTGTCATGAAAAGTGGTTGTATACCTTTGAACCTAGAGTGCCCCAGTTTAACAACTTGACAATGTCCCTTCTGAGATGTACCTGGGGAATCAATTTACGCACAGCACATTAGCATTCTCGTGGCATAGCTAGAGGTTCAACAGACTGCTGCATAGGTCTTGTCTTAAAGTCCTATTACACATTTTTTCAAATATATCACGTTGTTTCTTAACTTTTTTCGTCATGGAAAAAGCTTTGTACCACACTTCAAATTCACTGTATACAGCTGGTCTACAGATGACTGATAAAAACCATAGGAACCAACCCTTCCCTTTCCAACCTACTGTGCTTTTCCTGCAGCCCCTTGTAACTATGGCAGTAAAGTTGGTAGGGAACTAGGTTAATATACACGACATCTTTGCAAAACTTCCAAACCAAACATTCAATAAACATCTGTATAAATGCCATTGGGTGTATTTGTTGAATGTGGATGGTTAAATCAAACAAATTTGTTTCCCAAATTTATTTCATTTAGTTGGGACGAGGGCGGGTGTCCTGCAAAGTAAGAATAATATATTTTAACAAACTACAAAATAAATGCCTACGAGTTAGTTAGAATTTATTAGTAAATGTCATGTCTAAAAGAATGGAATACTTACTCCAAACAAATTCTGGCACACCGTCGGGTAAATTTTGCAGTGAATTTGATTTCAACTCCCCATAAAGAGGTTAACATAATCAGATAACACTACCAAATATACTGTAAACAATTAAAAACCTTCTACGGTATCAGATATTTATTTCTTGCTGTCTAGCTGGGTGACATACATTTTCCTCCCAGAATTTTAATTTAAAACAATAAAAATGACAATTACAGCAAAACTTACATATCTGATTTATTTTTAATAAATTTAAAGCAATTTCCTTTACTGCATTAGCAGTCTTAGCATTAAATGAAGCAGCTATAAAATTTGCTCAAAATTGTGGTTAAAATTTTGGCATGGGAGGATTAAACAAATTAATTAATTTTTTAAGTTCTTAAAATAAAAAATTCATCCGACTACTTACATTTTTTTTACAAAATTACAAACTAAAACTATAAAGCCAGATATGAGGTGTTTGAACCATGCTTATCCTTCTTAACCCCATTAAGAATATTTTAACACTGGAAAAAAAAATCAAATATGTACTCAAGTTAACTTGCATTCCAAGCCAAATGCAAACGGGGGGAATCAAATAGTATATCACTAAACAAAATTGTAATTTTTTGGGGGGGCAATTTTGTAAAAATTTGAAGTTAGACCAGTGCTGGCTAAGGGGTTTAATGAAAGAACAAACTTGGAGCATAATATTGCACTTCAAAACAAATATTACTCAACAAAAGGCATGAATGACCTATGCAGAACTTTACAAAAGTTGGATGATCTAAAAGTTAATAATTACCTTTACAAGTTAATAATTACCTTTACATCTATTTGTACAGTGCCACCTATGTAAAATTTCAAAGTAAGGTGGTGTTTAGAAAATACAGTACTCCACAAATACATCTGCCATCAGCTATTTCCACAACTAAGTGTCTTCAGACTAAGTATCAATAATTGAAACATTACTGAAGAATTCTGCATGGTTAGTTAGTTTTCAAAGGAAATAAAAAGTCCCCACCTACTTGCACTAGAAATTATGGTGTAGGATAATTAAGGTTATTTTAATGAGAATACATCAAGAACAAACAAGGCAAGGTTGAAGGAAAAAAATAGAACTCAAGGAAACAAATTATGGAAATGATATTCAATAAGGATAAATACAATTTGAAAAATGTATTACCCATAATGTCAACAAAGAACTATCATAAGGAGAAAGACAAATTCAATTCTCCCATGGTAGTTGCTTCTATGAACAACTAAGGCCAACCAATCTAATACCTATACATCAACAGTATCTGGGGCTCAAAGTAGTCACCCATCCACGTACTAACCAGAACCAACGTTGTTTAACTTCGATGCCCAGGAGACGTGGCGTTTCAACGGGGTATGGCCGGAGACTCCTTTTAGTTGATAAAATTGCAAATAATAGAGCCAATTGGTTATTGGCCTATATGGATATTACTGAATTACAAATATTTGTTCACTAAATAAGCAACCAAATATTATTGATAATACAGTACTATTAAAAGATATATGAAATGAGTGCCAAGTATCAATGACAAAAATAAATTACAAAATATCAATGCCAAAAGAACATGTACTATACAAGTGATGTGATCACAAACAGTAATCTTCTAGTAATTCAAGTGGCTATGAACTAATTTCAACCTTAGAAACAGTATTTGTATGATGTCAAGAATAATTAAGAGCAAGATTGATTTGTAAACAAGTCATCCAAGAAATCTAGGGTGGAAGGAAAAATGGGATCAACAGCAAACAGCAGGTTTGTAGCAGCAATAGATACTCTAATCCTGCATCACTAAACTGCTTTGCACGGTTTTTGTTGAAAAATTGCCAGATTGTACCAAATACATGTATAAATCAAACCAAATCACACTAAATAATCAAAGTGGGGCAAATAAAACTTCCATTACTTACCTGAGCACGGGGGAAGCGAGGAGGGGGGGTACGGATCTTCCTAGCCTTGCGACTTCGGTTCCTCACCACCTTGGAGTGAATAGCGCAAGAAACGCAGTAATGTTGCTTGATGTACAATTTGGGCAACTGGTAAACTGTGGGAAAAATAATGTCATGACTATTCCATTTCACAACTTTCATATGATTCGGAGGCATTGCACCAGAAGTTACAATGACAAAACACACAATATTAGTTTCCCATTTCATGGCAGCACTCCATGGCTTCAACCAGCGATACAAATAGATTCCTTCCATTGCAAACAGCCTCCACCCAACTATATTCCTCAAACACTGACCATGTTTAGTCTCCTTCCTTTCCTCCACCTGCCCTCACATCAACTCAATAGAACAGCACTAATAATTACAGCCACCAGATGATAATTCTCCGTGCCTCATCTGGGACATGCTAGTGAAGCAACGAGTGGTTGTTTGTGACCAAGCCTTCACCTCATGACATTGGTGTTAGCTGAGCCCCTGTACAAAGGTGCCAAATCTACTAATAAAACAGACCTAGGCCTGTATCTCATCAGTTAGGATTCATTCTGATGATTGTGTTTGCTCAGAGATTGATAATCCTTAGATGAAGTTAATTCTCTGCAGGCTCGAGAAGACACCAGTAATAACGAAATCATCCACTATATTCCTTGCAAAATTATCCATACTTGATATTGAGCAAGTCTCAAACTTGTGACTTCCATCATCAAATGGGGAACAAAGAGCATACTGAACAAGCTTCCTTGCAGCCTACATTGCTGTACTATACCCTGACTGACAGTATTTTGTGCCACACCTAGTCATCACCTTTCAAGCCTACCCACTCCCACCTCATATCTCCAGCTATGACAACTACCACCTGTGCACTCCAACATTGCTATAGTTGTATGTGTGCATGTGTTATTCCTTGACCACTTACATGTATTATATTTTTAAGTGAGCAATTGTTACCTGAAGTACCAGTACAGGATTTCAGCAGAGATCTAAGTGAATTTGATCTTGCTTGTGTGGAACATTAAAGTTACCAGAATTACTATAACTGGTTTGTGGAGCTACATACATTTGTTTGCAAGTGATGAATAAAACTCAACTTTAATTGTAAGTAGTGGAAAGAGTTCTAATATTTCTATATATTCAGCTATTTGATATTCAAATCTTTAATACTGTTCAGAGGCTGAGCTAGAAGGGAACACATTTCTGTATGCTTACATATTGATTTCTCCTAGATACCTGTGATGGAAGGACTCAGTTCCCAATCAATTGCTGTGGTATCATTACCGACGGATTAACTGCGGTTTTATTGTGGCCCTGTTAACACTATCGCGCACCCCAAGAGTGCGCCGCAAATTTTGACGTCTTTGAGCCAATGGTGCGGGCGAGCGTGCGGCGACGCCTATTAAATTCCCTGCAGATGTATATGCATATAACGTCCAAAAGCCTGGCGAAACTCCCCACAGCAAAGCCTAAAGTTGGAAAAGTTACCCGTGAGCGCACAAAATCAGTAAAATGTTTATACTCGCTTCAGTTTTCTCACCTTAATTCTCGTGCTACGTCGCTCATTTTGGTATCATTGTGTTCGCAAATGAATTCCCTACAGGTGTATATGAATATAATGTACAAAAGCCTGGCGTGCCTCCCCGCAGGAATGCCTAAAGTTACCCGTAAACGAGCACCAATTTGTGCACTGCAACCTAATGTGTATACTCGTTCAATTTGATAACATCAATTTTCGTGTTACGTCTTTCATTTTGGTATCAAATTGTTCGCAATAAAAAGGCGCGTATTTTAAAACTAGTCCCATAATAATAGAGCAATAACTGGATTTTTAACAAACATTTTAATTCTGGAAGCTCATCATAATTATTTATATCTTTCCAGTGTTAACACTTTCGCGCTTTAGATTAGAGATAACTCGTCGCCGTTTTTTCTTACGATTCCGCATAACAGCCTACTTTTCTCGTCCATCGAAAAAATATTTCTATAAATTCCATTTTTTAACCGAAATGGATGGGGATACTCTCAGATTATATACGTTTTGTAGAGAATTTATTTGCGAATTTTTTGGTACCAGAATGAATATTATATCACATAAACTTCTATGAGTAAAAAAAAAAATACACAAAGTATGTTTGGGGGTGTGGCGAGCGTGTGGCAGTGGGTTCCCTTTAGCCGTTGATATATCCAACACGTGGGAAATATTTGTATGTGTTATGTATATGTCTGTGTAGGGAATTTTACTGCGATCACTGTCATACAAATTATAAAATGTTTCAACAAGTATAAACATGACAAACATCAAACGAACGAAAACAATGCGTTCGTTTCTGCCGCGAACGCATACTGAGCGACATGGTTCTATATTTGGCGCTTCTCTTACACATGCTTTGTACAAATGTTATACATTTCATCTTATAGAAAATTTTATTGCGAACACATTGGTATAAAAAAGAAATACGTACATAGAAAAGTAGGGTCAGGAAACGTATAAACTTTCCAAGCATGATTTCCCCCCTGTGTTTTCGCCAGTGCGCTCGCGGCTAACTACTCTCCACTTCACACACTCTTGCGGGTGGGCAATTACCTATATTAAACATTCATATGCATATGTCCGTGTAGAGAATTTTATTGCGATTCCAATGATACCAAAATTAGCGATGTAGGACAACTGTAGGCTTCGCAACCATTAAGAGAGTGGAAACATTTTGTTGCTGTTTGGCGCTCTCGGCGAGTGATCTGCATAGTTTTTTATTTGGTGTTGATACTCCTTATGCTTGGGCGGCATTTTATAGGTATGCTCTTATAGACAATTTCATTGCGAACACAGTGATACCAAATTTAAATACGTGCGCCTTCAATTATTGTCAGGACAGTCAAAAGAGTGTACACTTTTTCGGTCTTACCGCGTAGGCGCGCGAAGTGCCGAAAGCATCTGGGGTATTGTTTTTTTTTGAGCGCCGAGAGCGCGAAAGTGTTAAGGCTCGGGCTAACTCGAGGTGCGCAGTGGGTCCCCTGCCGGGGCAACGAAAGTGTTAAAATTCATCCTCTGAACCTGTGTTCTTCTGCAGAGTTTGTCACCAGTAATTCTTGACATTTGACACTAAAGCACTGTAATGACAACACCTTGTATTTTTAAAGATTACTTTAGGTAAATCTAATATTTAATTGATCATGACTACTTTACATAAACAAATTTAATCTCTATGCTAATATCTTATAAGGCACTTAACTGCTTATTCCAACAAACAAGTCAATCAAATTTGATGTCGATCCTGCTGTTGATAGTACCCTTCCTCCAGGTGTATTCGTGAGACAAGACCTAGTGACAGCTGAATGTTTTCGATCATTTTACCTATTTTAAGACATGCCATTGGTCCAAGTTACACATGTAAAGTCCCCCTACCTCCACTCTTAAAAGTCTACATTCTCAATACTGTATTGTGTTAAATCGTATATCTTTTCGAAAAGTGTGACTAGAATTTAAGATGTAAATGAAATACCTAAAGATATTAGCATATAATGGCAACATCTGGAGACATTTCACCAAACCAAGTCAAGTCTATAAAAACATACATTTGCCCCCAGACAAGGAAACCTATTACCATTAGAGTAAAAGTAGAAAATACTATCACTAATGTATATATGCTGCTAATGCTGGTATACTGTGTGCAGGAACTGTGCATGGTGTTGATATAGCCAGAGGAAACTGTGTACCCATCTTGAGATGATTTCGGGGCTTTATAGTGTCCCCGTGGCCCGGTCCTCGACCAGGCCTCCACCCCCAGGAAGCAGCCCGTGACAGCTGACTAACACCCAGGTACCTATTTTACTGCTAGGTAACAGGGGCATAGGGTGAAAGAAACTCTGCCCAATGTTTCTCGCCGGCGCCTGGGATCGAACCCAGGACCACAGGATCACAAGTCCAGGGTGCTGTCCGCTCGGCCGACTGGTCCGCTTGGTCCTCCATCATGGAGGACCAAGACCTATATGATCACCCAATAGTCATTTATTCAGACTTCATACAAATCTGTATGCTACTCTGTAGAGGGCAATATCCTGAAGAACAGACCCTGGATTAAGCAGCAGTTTATCTTCGTGCCGTACACATAGACACCAGCTACAGATGCTGGTAACTAAATCAAGACACGATACTCAATCATTGACATATAAAATGCATATATTTACCAGAATAGATGCAAGAACACACACACTAGTGTGGCATATACAATATTAATATTTTCTTTGTTCATTCAAACTACCACCCCCAACTTGATCCCTTTTTATTTGGATGCTTAGAACCACACTGACCAAATCGAATTTATTGAGTGGAGGGGCAGCGAATTTTTATTTACAAAACTCTTTTACCGATTATGAAAAAATATTAAGAGTACAAATTTTAAATATACCTTTCTAATACAAATGCTTATTAAAAATTACCGAGATGATTACAGTACCTGTATAAACCGAAGCCTCATTGATATCCTTAACTGCAGCTGCTTCTACAATATTACGTATCTGAAACTTCTTGATAGCCTTGTCCTTGGGTACACATCGTCCACAGTTCGTGCATCGCACAGGCTTGGTGTGGCCACGTCCATGCTTGGATCGTCCATTATTCCGGCGTTTTGAGGTCTGTTAAAGTGGCAATATCGGAGCATTAACAAAAACTGCATACTGTTACACCTTCAGTCAATATGCACACCGAGAACATGCTATGGCCATATTGTTCGTAGGTGATTGTCTATCTCAGTGCAAAACTACTATTCTGAGAGTTGTTCAGGTACTTATCAAAACAAAAATAGTTGTCTAAATTATGCAGAAATGTGTAACGTATAATTTGAAATGTGAAAAGGTCAGAAAAAATTAACATGAGGAAAATTTATAAACTTGCAGCTGGTCTATAATGATATGACCTGAATTTCAAGAGTCCATTATATATTTTCTAGTTTTGTCTAGAAGGTGGATGCATGGATACAACATGCATCCATAGAACAATGAGACCAAAGTTGTGAAATGTATCAATGGTGTCATATATCCCATGTTATGAATATTCTCATTATCCACCTTATTATTTTTATGGCTTGTGTTATTTTGCTTAACTGTGCGCTCTAAATATCAGGTAATCTAGATATTATTCCCAAATCTGTGAAATGACTTGGTCACTGTTCCACAAGATTCGACTTTTGTAACCTGTACCCCTTGAAAAGTACAGTATTATATTTTTATACTGGAATACAGTAATTGAAATTACTGTACTTTTAGTATAAAAAGACTACAGTAATTTCTAGAACTACTCTTTTTTTATACTAGATTAGTTAACTAGTCAGTTAAATCTTGTTCTGTGGCAATATTTTTAGACTTGACACAGCTGGGTTTTTTAATAAATCTATTCTTTTGGCAGAAGTGAAAAATAGTAAGATTCTGCTATGAAAGGTACTGTACTGGTGTGGCACGGTCAAAGCCATGCTCATACCTATTTTGCTGCCACTCCTAACATGGAGCAGAGTACATTTCTATGTAGGCTTGAACTACAGCATTTACAATAATTCACAGAAAATCTATGTGTACTATAAATCTAAAATTCTTAATATTATAAGTAGGTAATTATCAGAGAAGGCACCAGACCTGTATGTCTGTGGCACCTAAGTCGCAAGGTATTCTGAAGGCACTAAATACCAGTCAAGATGCCAAAACGAGAACAGAATAAGGAAAATTCTCAAAAGTATGGGATTCACCAAGGATGCTAATGAGAGAAATGCCCCCCTTAAGAACAGTAGGAAAGCAAGACACTAACATCTTGATACTCAGAGCAATCAACAAGGTGCAAGACTATGTTGAACAATGCAATTTGAACAAAAGAGGTGCAGGATGATCCATAAGTGGGAGCCGGTCGGCCGAGCGGACAGCACGCTGGACTTGTGATCCTGTGGTCCCGGGTTCGATCCCGGGCGCCGGCGAGAAACAATGGGCAGTTTCTTTCACCCTATGCCCCTGTTACCTAGCAGTAAAATAGGTACCTGGGTGTTAATCAGCTGTCATGGGCTGCTTCCTGGGGGTGGAGGCCTGGTCGAAGACCGGGCCGCAGGGACACTAAAGCCCTGAAATCATCTCAAGATAACCTCAAGATAAGTGAGTAAGGCAGACGAGACTGGTAAGCAACCTAGCCAGAGCCGTCTCCCAACACTTATTATGGTGGCAGGATACAGGCAAGGGAAAAGGACACCCTTAAAAGCATGCTGTTTATTACATGAAATGCCAACCCTACCAATGGTTGCAGAGAGCACTATGGATGATCAGGCAAAAATCTGAATAGGGAATCCTTTTCTGGGAAATGTTGCAAGTACGAATGGCCTCCTTAGCGGCGGTGTCAGCGAGTTCATTCAAGGGAATTCCAATATGGCTGGAAACCCAGCAAAATTGGTCTGTCTTATACCTGCTAAAAATAAGAAACAGACTAATGGATTTCAGCTACTACAGAATGCAAAGGGTTAAAACTCCAGGGCCATGGAGACACTGAGAATCAACCACAATGACAAAGAAATGGTGATGCGAAGAAAACTGCTGCTAATGAGCATATAAAATAGCATAAAGTTCTGCCTTGAAGATGCTAGCCTCCAGGGGTAAACTGTATAAATAGGTCCAGTTGGGGAAAAGAATGGAAAAGCTGACAGGGTCGGCAGATGTAGAACCATCAGTGAAAAAGAGTAATGGAGCCTGAATGAGAGGATTAATGTTCAAGAAAACAGCTGCTCAAAACTGTAGGGAGGTAGGGCTTCACCATGTGAAAGCTTATTAGCTCTAGCCAATAGCTCTAGCATTGCTTACATAGACCACTATATAGACCAATAACTTTTAACGTTGCACATAATAAAAATCTTTGAAAGAGTGCCAAGAAGTATAGCCTTAGATGAAAAAAAATGCCATGGAAGACGAACAAAACTGATGTAATACACGTACACAGGTTTTGCAAAAGCCTTCAACAAAAGTGACCATGGTGTTATTGCATACAAAATGTGCACAAAAGGAATTACTGGCAAAGTAGGGAGATAGATCTTGAACTTCCTCAAAGAACCCCGAGTGTAATAGTCAACAAGGTAATACAGTGGTACATCGGAATACGAGTGCCCTGTATAAGAGTTCTTCGGAATACAAGCAGGATTTGCGCAGAAAATTTACATCGGAATACAAGCGTTGCCTCGGAAGACGAGGGTGTTGATACGCATACAGGCCGACTAGTGCGTGGTGGCACAGCGATCGCGCCTCAGTTTACCAGTGTCGTGCCCAGTGACTATCCCGCCTGAATTTTTCACAAGGATTTACATTTTGTCAGATGTTTGGCCATATGTGCATAAATGTTGTTGTTATATATCTCGCCATGGGTCCCAAGAAAGCCAGTGGTAAGGTTCAACTTAAGAAAATAGTTGTGAGTAAGAGGCAGTAGAGAATGTCCCTTCTTCATTAAGAAAATGAGTGAAGTATGGGAAGAACTGCAAAGTTTTGTGAAAAAACTTACCCAGATAAAGCTGTAGCAGGCCACTGCATTGACCTTATAAATGACAACTTGATGTCTTACTACAGACAAGTGTTAAAATGTAGGGAAAAACGAGTGTCTTTTGACAGCTTCTTAGTAAGACAAACAAGTCCTAGTGATATGCTTGCAAAACGTGCCAGTGTGTGCACACCAGTGAAGTCCTCACTGCCTGATGTTATAATGGAAGGAGACTCCCCTTTCAAACAGTAACACCTTTCCTCCTCCTCACCATCTTCCATACGTCAACAGCAGTCATCAGCAATAGTAAGTAATAATTTGAACATACTTTTGTAGTGTAGATTTAGATGAATTAGGTATAAAATTTAGTTTGAAGTGAGGTTTTTTGGTAGTCAGGAACGGATTAATTCATTTCCCATTATTTCTTATGGGGAAATTAGCTTCGGTTTACGAGTTTATGGATTACAAGCTGTCTCCTGGAACGGATTAAACTCTTAAACCGAGGTACCCTTGTATCATCCACCATGAAAAGCTCAGTTCCCCACGGTACCGTGCTTACTGCAGTACATTTCCATGTCCTCATATCAGACAGACAAGGATACAAACTATATTACTGTCATACTTTACAGATACTAGAAATTTCATGCCTAGACAATATAGAGGACACGGCAAACCTCCACCCTATCTGATGTTAATTAAGTCTTTCAATGGGCCTCAGAAAATAACATGTTGAATAAGTTACAATTACTGTGCTATAAAAAAAAGAAAATATAGCAGAAACCAAATAAGTCAAACCATGTTATTTAAAGAAAAAGCAATGCAAAAGATTTAAGAGTAATCCTGTTGGAAGACCTTACTTTCAAGGAATGCAACAAAGTAGCTGTCACAACTGCAAGATAAATGACAGGTTGGATAACAAGAACTTTTGAAACGAGAGATGCCATACTTTTAAGAGATGATACTTTAAGATACTTAGTGCTCTCTATTGTAGAATACTGTTGCACACTAACAGCCCCATTCAACCTGGAGAAATTGCTGACCTGGAGAGCACGCAAAGATCCTTTAGCGCTACAATCCATTCAATAAAACATCTAAATTACTGGGACTGCCTAAAACAACTTTAAATCTGTACTTCCTAGAGTGCAGGAGGGAGGTTCATAATAATTTACACTGGAAAATATTTGGAGGACTGGTTCCAAATTAGCACACAAAATAACACCACACAAGACTAGTAAGGCATGGCAGGATGACCAAAATAGCACAACTGAAAAGCAGAGGTGCAAATAAGCACGCTGAGAGAAACTATCAACATCAAAGGCCTAAGACTAACACACCACCTACAAATACGGGGCATAACTGGCCAACCCCTCTCAGTCTTAAAAAAAAGAACTCGACAAGCACCTTGAAAGGATGCCTGATCAGCCAGGCTGTGATTCATACGGCAGGTTGCGAGCATCCACATCGAACAGTCTGGTCGATTAGACCAGCAACCAGAAGACCTGGTCAGAGACTGGGCCATGGGGATACTAATCCTAGGAATCTTCAACAGGAAACAGGAATGTGGGTTAGGGTCCTACAAAATTTCACCAGTTGGACCTTCCACAGAGGCAAAGTAGGAACAATATTTGGAGACACATTGCTAATGTGAACCAAGAGAAACTTGTAAAGGAGCCACCCTTGCAGCAAAAGGAAGGCAGTGAGAAGAAGCAATGGCGAAAGAACAGTACAAGCGGAACTGCAGTTGTTGGAAGGATGGTGGTGCGAGATAATGCAGAAGCAGTAACGAAGCACGATCCTGTAGTTATATTATGCCATTGTCAACATACAAGCTCAGGATGGGTAATGAAAGAGGCACCAGAGCTGAGGAGCAGCCTAGTATGGAGCAGCCTAGTATGGTGCAGCGCATCAAGACAATGAAGGGTCGAGGGATAGGCAGGGCAGCCACAGTAAAGTTTAGACAGAACGAGGAGTGCAAATAATGTGTGCTTATCAACCCCTAGCATGAATGAGACATGACCTTAAGTTAGGTAAGGGCTTTAGAGCAGGCAACTCGGGTGAAATGAAACCTTATAGGCAAGAGGACTACCAAAGAGGGAACAGGGGATGAGGGACGGCATGTGTCAAATTCATAGCTCTGTCGGCCGAGCGGACAGCACGCTGGATTTGTGATCCTGTGGTCCTGGGTTCGATCCCAGGCACCGGCAAGAAACAATGGGCAGTTTCTTTCACCCTATGCCCCTGTTACCTAGCAGTAAAATAGGTACCTGGGTGTTAGTCAGCTGTCACGGGTTGCTTCCTGGGGGCGGAGGCCTGGTTGAGGACCGGGCCGCGGGGACACTAAAAAGCCCCAAAATCATCAAGATAACCTAGCTCAAGTTTTAGATGTAGAAAATGTTAAGCCACGATTGATGGCCCTAGACAACACATTATGAATATCTTGTTAGCGCTGATGCTGAAGACAGGAGGGGGGTCATTACTACAACAGCAGGTGAGATCATCAACATACAGGGTGAAGAAAATGCCAGGAAGGAAGACCATTCAGGGCAACCATAAATATAGTGGTGCTCAAAACTACTACGCTGGGGAACACCCTTCAAACTCTTTAGAATTAGTAAGTAGCACCAACCTTCACTTGGAATGAGCAACAGGGAAGAAAGCTTTCGGAAAGATGGGAGAGTGCCACAAAGGCCAAAGGAATGTAGCTGGACAAGAAAGAATATTGTACCTTCAGGTGATATCAAGCTTTTTCCAGGTCAAAAAAAAAATGCCAGGAATTCACAGCAGAGGCAGTACAGTAGTCCACCAATATATCCATTATGCTGTGTCCAATGCAAAAACCAAATTGGGATGGGGAAATGCAGCATGATGGTCTAGGAACCACAAGAGACATCAATCCTACACACATGGAGTTTGTAGATGCAATTTTAGGCAATGGAATGAAATCCTTAGGGAAGGTCCCTCGAGTAAAAGGCTTCTTAACAGGAAGAATAACAGCCTCGAGCCAATTATCATGACCAAAGACACCCAAATACAGTAATTCCATTTATAGTGTACTATTACATCTGCCATGTTCTGACCACTTTTCTGATATGGTTAACCCACAAAATAATTTCTTCTTAATAATCACTATGCTAAATATCTGGCCTTCACACTCGACACATTCATCAATTATTAAAGTTGTTTTAATTTGCTTTAAACTTCCAATGTTCTATTGCTGCTCCCAGCTCTCGTACCATGCCTGCTTGACACCCACGCTGAAGAGTATCCACAGAGCACTAAGAACTATATGGTTACCCATTAAGGCCTCTCACTTTGGATTTATTATTCATAAAAAATCTGTATGCTAATTTGTAGAGGGCAATGTTCTGAAGAATATACCCTGGATTAAATTGCAGTTTATTTTCGTGCCGTACACATAGACACCAGCTACAGGTGCTGGTAACTAAATCAAGACACGATAGGATATAGCTAAATATTGCATTCATTAACAATATATACTTCTATGCATTAATATATACAGTACTTCTAACATTTAACATTAAGGACATTTAAGTATCATGCTATTGAAAATAGTGTAAAGTTATTCAACTTTTCTTTGTACTTTCACATTTCCTCAACATTACATACTGTAAAGATTTTTGCACATGCAATACTCAATAGCATAATACAGTAATGCATTGCTAAATCACAAAATGTATACATAATTGTTAGAAAACTTATTTATTGAGGTAGACCAACCATTTTGCTAATTTGTTCAGATATTAAGGTTTTTAGTACAAGAAATGAAAAGTTTAACCCTTATGCCCCAGTCATCCAACCCTCATCTACATCATCTCATCTACAGTCATCATCTACACGAGGAGCCTAATGTTGCTGTCAACAAGACCTCCAAAGGCTTCACTCAAGATGAGCCTCCTTGTTTTTCTCAACCCTAATCACCTTGTAGAGGAGCCTCAATTAACCACTAGTGAGGCAGCACCTCTACACTATATGTTCAAAACTGAACTACAACTCGAATGAATCCCAACATGCCAAAGTAAAAGCAAGGAATGACATTAGATGTTTTATTACATCTTTTATGGATCCAAGAAGCAAATATGTCAACATTTTTATTTCAAGACTGAAGGTCTTATTAATTACGATGCCCAGATCCTTTTTCCGATCACATTTGGCAATTTCAACATTATTTAACCAATACTTGGTAACCAATTAATTTCTTAGACTTAGAATTATGTTTTAGTTGGCTATCCTGTCTTAATTTATCCTGTATTCCATTACCTATACTGCAGTGCCCTAGAGCACTCCCTGTGGCACAGTGGTAAAACACTCGCCTGGCACTTTGTGAGGGCTTTGGTCAGGGTTCGTATCCTGGCCGGGTAAGATTGACTGGTTGCCAATCCTTAACTGTAGCCGCTGTTCACCCAGCAGTGAATGGGTGCCTGGTGGTTAAAGGTTTTAGCGGGACGTATTCTGGAGAAAAATACGGATTAAAGTCCTGCCCAAAACAGTATGTGTACTAGTGGCTTTACACGAATGCAAGAACTCATATATATAAATAAATAAATAAATAATCTATAATTTCTTTCGTTAAGCATTCGTTCAATTATTTGTAACAGATTCCCTAAGCTCTGGCTTCCTGACCCCGTAAAGGCCACTAGAATTGGACGCGAGGCAAATTGGAGAGGTTCTAGAGTTCCTCTACTACCCAAGCCCCAGCCTACATGGATACACAACACCATGGCATAAAACCTACATACAAATTCGCGTGGCATAATCCAAGCTAATATTACCCATATATCCCCAAACATGTAATAAACCCATTCGCGCGCAGCTGGAGCCGCTGTGGTCAGCCCCAGACACGGACAAGTCCCCCAATTTGCAGCTATCAATATATAAACTGAACCAACCACTATACCTATCCTACCAACTATATCAACAGCCTGGCTAGCCGCCTTATGTGAGTTTGAAACGGGGCGCTGGGATGGGATGGGTGGCCACGCGCTGCTCACCCTGGCGGCCCTCCACCCACGAGGCCCACATGTCTTACCTCAAACTACCTCGTTTACACGCACTATTCACCTTCAGAAGCATCACTCATCACTCACCAGACACTCAGCATGTCGCTTAACGCTACTCGCAGCCTGCACACGCAAACACAAGGGAAACACGAGGGTATATTTACCATGGCGCTCCGATAATGGTTGAGAGTGCAGCCGCGGGACCTGAAAGACCGACAACATTGAGTCAAGGAACCACCGCCTGCTCAATGGTTCTCTTCTTGTCAAACTTTTAATAAATGTGAGATTCACTGATCGTATAAATTAAGGGAGATATAATTTTGTAATAAAATATTGCATTCGCCCTAATATATCACTTAAAATAGCTTCTTGATATGTATTTAGTTTGATCATGAGCTTTAATAGAAAACGTCTGAGTTGTGGTAACATTTTAGCGCTAACAAATATAATAATAATAATAATAATAATAATAATATTTTATTTAGGAAAAGTACATACATAGATACAGTTACAAACATTTTGATTGATTTATAGATAGAACTAGTACATACAATACCTAAAGCCACTAGTACGCATAGCGTTTCAGGCAAATTATTATTGCCCACTGTTGGTTTTATTTTCAATAACTTTATAACCCTATTTTCAATCATTTTAAGTAGTAATACCATTCTTGTAAATAAGTATAACTTGTCTTCTATTAATCTTGTTGAAGACTCACAAGTCTAGAGTAAAATTGGGCACCAAAATAGCCATGGTGGTCATCTTGCAACACAGAGACTCTGAAGGTTGCTTGCATCAGAGTTTAATACTCTCTTGATTCGTGAGATAATTGTAGCCTCCACTCACCGTATATATGGTTCAAGGCTGTGACAATATACGGTGTTACTGTAAACGGTGTTTTATATCAAGCCAGGGGCCGAATCTAGATGGTTTTGTGTTCTTGCCCGAAACGCTATGCGTGCTAGTGGCCTTACAAGAATGTAAAATCAACTTCATTTCTATGTTCTCTCTTAACCCCCAATGTACCTTCTTGTATATAAATAAATAAATAAATAAATAGGTCAAAACAACAAAATGGCCCCGCACACTCTATGGCCAGTGTGGCTATTCAAAGGCTAAACACATACATGTAGACAGCTCATATCATGATACAGCCCATCCGTTTAGTTTAAGTTATAGTAATGATGAGGACCATCGTACATATATTGACGTAAAAGGCAATTAGAAAGTAGACAGCGCTACTTTTGAATTTAGACAATCAGGAGAAGGTTTTGTACTAATGTTGCAAAGAAAATTTAACGTAACCTAACAACCTTCCTAGGATGTACATTCTCTCGAATAGTACATCGTATTTTGACGTATAAATTCCCTTAGGGCCAACAAACTGATGGCATATAAATCATAACAGCACGCAAAATTGACGTGATTTTTCCGTTTTCTGCTCATGGATCCTCGGTTAGGTTAGGTTCGGGCAATGTAGCACATTAATTTAATGACGTTTTGGATGCTTGAGAGGGCGGGCTGCTCTGTCACCACCGACATTCAACAGCCGCACCATGTCAAGACGCTGTCTCGCCATAAACAATTCCCAGTGTAACCAACTACATCAAATATAGTGTACATTTAGTAACAAGGTTGTAAAACTCTACAAAGTGACTGAAAATTGGCGGATGGTCGCTATAGATGCCGATATTTCTTAAAAAGTGGCACTGGGGCCGATCCTGACTGGCCTATAATACTCCTAATTCCCATAGACCTCAAGTGTCATCTTGGAAAGTTGGGTGAGACTTGTCCCAAGCATCCAACCTTGGACAGACAAACATACAAACAGACAGACAGACAGACACATTCTTGTTTACATATATGGATATGAGATAAATTAAGTTTAGGATCAAAATTAGTTTGCAAGCAGTAAAAAGCAACAAATGAGTAGACACATTTTAGAAGCTATCGATTACAATGAACGTAATAGGAATACAATCGTGGTAAATATGTAAATAATTACGGAACATGACACAAGGACTAGGTGTGGTGAAGGTGATTGATTGATTGATGAAGATTAAGCCACCCAAAGGGTGGCACGGGCATGAATAGCCCGTAAGTGGTGGCCCTTTTGAGCCATTACCAGGTATCAATAGATGATACTGGAGATCTGTGGAGGTGCGACTGCCCCCTGCGTGACGGGAGATGTCTCTCGTGGTGGTGAAGGTTAATCTGTAAGTCTCACATAGTTAGGTGCTTACGGGCTCACCATAGCCCGTGCTACATGGAACTTTTTGTTCCAAGTAGCTGAATCTAAAACAACAGCTTGGTGCCGCTCACAGTTACAGCCTCGCTCCTGTGCCAGGTAAGTCCACTACGGGCTCACCATAGCCCGTGCTACTTAAAACAAAAACAACAGATGGATGTTCAAATAACACGAGATACGCAGTAAGAACATTGCGATGTGGTACGAACAAGAGAACATTTATACGCGGCTACGTTGAAGCTAACAAGCTGGTATAATTATACAATTAAAAGTATATATTTATAAGTATACAACAATGATGCTACGGTCAGTACATGTAGCTTTCTGAATTCTGTTGAACAAAGGTGATGTCTGAACGCGAACATCTAGTTCACCAATAGTAATCAAAGTGATTCTAATGAACAAAGTAAGTTCATTAACTTACAGTAGTTTCAGGTCAACTACTGATTCATCGCTAGTTAACTCACGATGCTTTAAACTCGTTATTATTCATCGCATATCAAGAGTACATTAAGTAGACCATTTTAAAGGATATATTTTATTTAAAATACGCTATATACAAAAATAAGTTTTATTCATTAATAAAATTGTTGCTATCACTAATGAAACAATTAATTAATTCATTCATCCATTACAATCATTACTTGGTGTCAAATTATTTGAGAAAATTACAACAAATGTGCAATTACAGTCGAAATATTATATATATATATATATATATATATATATATATATATATATATATATATATATATATATATATATATATATATATATATATATATATATATATAAACATATGTCGTACCTAGTAGCCAGAACGCACTTCTCGGCCTACTATGCAAGGCCCTTTTTGCCTAATAAGGCAAGTTTCATGAATTAATTGTTTTCCGACTACCTAACCTAACCTAACCTAACTTTTTCAGCTACCTAACTCAACCTAACCTATAAAGATAGGTTAGGTTAGGTTAGGTAGGGTTGGTTAGGTTCGGTCATATATCTACGTTAATTTTAACTCCAATAAAAAAAAATTGTCCTCATACATAATGAAATGGGTAGCTTTATCATTTCATAAGAAAAAAATTAGAGAAAATATATTAATTCAGGAAAACTAGGCTTATTAGGCAAATCGGGCCTTGCATAGTAGGCTGAGAAGTGCGTTCTGGCTACTAGGTACGACATATATATATATATATATATATATATATATATATATATATATATATATATATATATATATATATATATATATATATATATATATATATAGGCTGAGAAGTGCGTTCTGGCTACTAGGTACGACATATATATTTGCTATATATATATATATATATATATATATATATATATATATATATATATATATATATATATATATATATATATATATATATATATAGGCTGAGAAGTGCGTTCTGGCTACTAGGTACGACATATATATATATATATATATATATATATATATATATATATATATATATATATATATATATATATATATATATATGTCGTACCTAGTAGCCAGAACGCACTTCTCAGCCTACTATGCAAGGCCCGATTTGCCTAATAAGCCAAGTTTTCCTGAATTAATATATTTTCTCTAATTTTTTTCTTATGAAATGATAAAGCTACCCATTTCATTATATATGAGATCAATTTTTTTTTATTGGAGTTAAAATTAACGTAGATATATGACCGAACCTAACCAACCCTACCTAACCTAACCTAACCTATCTTTATAGGTTAGGTTAGGTTAGGTAGCCGAAAACGTTAGGTTAGGTTAGGTTAGGTAGGTTAGGTAGTCTAAAAAACATTAATTCATGAAAACTAGGCTTAGTAGGCAAATCGGGCCTTGCATAGTAGGCTGAGAAGTGAGTTCTGGCTACTAGGTACGACATATATATATATATATATATATGTGTGTATATCACGAAAATAAACACGTGATTAAGAATGTGACAATGTCAGACCACGGAGGAAAAATGAAACAGGAAATTTCCTTAAGTACTTTCGTATATTAAATACATCTTCAGAAGGTCATTTTACAGATCGAGTGATGGGTATAAATAGGCAGGAAGGAGTGGTGAAGTAAGGTGAGGTACAATACTTGGACAACGCAGAAGGCCCATTGGCCCATCAGATGCACCCAATTGGCACATCCGATGTAACACAATGGCCCATCTGATACAGCAGACATACAAGCATAATATATAGGTAATTATAACATTAAGAAATAAATATATACAATAAATTAGTGAGACAAATGTTTTTCAATGATTCTACTTAAATCGCCCTTTAGCTGATCTATTAGAAATGGATCTAAGTTATATAGACCACTGCTAATATTCAAATTACTTTCTTTGGTGATCTGTATCAAAGCAGATTCAATTATGTTTCTGTTATAGGTGCTTTTACAATTTGTTATTGAAGAAGCACTCTCCCAATCAATTTGGTGAGCTTTTTCTGACAAATGCACAAACAAAGCATTAGACAATTGGCCATGTTTTACAGAGTATTTATGTTGCGATATTCTACATTTTAAATCTTTAGATGTTTGCCCGACATAGAACTTATTACATTCCTTACAAGGTATTTTATAAATGACGCAATTATCACTACGAGGGCTGTTCCTTACTAATAGCTTACCAACAGTGTTTTCGTAGCTAAACATTACATCTATATTAAAAAGTTTCAAGGCCTTGACAATATTCTCAAACCCAGAGAAATATGGTAAACATAACACATTCTTTGGGCGAATCCTTTCACTGCATACATTATTATAATATGTACGACGAGCTTTGTTACGACAAACTTCCAACAAATTCAGTGGGTAACAAAGCTTAAGACCAATCGAATCAATATTCTTAAATTCTTCATCTAAGAATTCTGGACTCACAACTCGAAGAGCTCTTAGATACATTGAAGAAAAAATTGACTTTTTTACATTGTATTTATGCCCTGAAAATAATGAACATAAGATAAATTGTTCGTAGGTTTTCTGTAAACACACACAGACAACAACATACAACCACCTGTAGTATATTCTGCAGCACTGATGGTAAATATTACATTGTAAATATTGTATCATTATAGTGTTTAATTTATATGTATTTCAATACACACACACACACGTAGACGAAAAAACATTAATTCATGAAAACTTGGCTTATTAGGCAAATCGGGCCTTGAATAGTAGGCTGAGAAGTGCGTTCTGGCTATTAGGTACGACATATATATATATATATATATATATATATATATATATATAATATTATATATATATATAATATTATATATATATATATATATATATATATATATATATATATATATATATATATATATATATATATATATATATATATATATATATATATGTCGTACCTAATAGCCAGAACGCACTTCTCAGCCTACTATTCAAGGCCCGATTTGCCTAATAAGCCAAGTTTTCATGAATTAATGTTTTTTCGTCTACCTAACCTACCTAACCTAACCTAACCTAGCTTTTTTGGCTACCTAACCTAACCTTACCTATAAATATAGGTTAGGTTAGGTTAGGTAGGGTTGGTTAGGTTCGGTCATATATCTACGTTAATTTTAACTCCAATAAAAAAAATTGACCTCATACATAGAGGTATATATATATATATATATATATATATATATATATATATATATATATATATATACATATGTCGTACCTAGTAGCCAGAACTCACTTTTTGGCCTACTATTCAAGGCCCGATTTGCCTAATAAGCCAAGTTTTCATGAATTAATTGTTTTTCGACTACCTAACCTACCTAACCTAACCTAACCTAACTTTTTCGGCTCCCTAACCAAACCTAACCTATAAAGATAGGTTAGGTTAGGTTAGGTAGGGTTGGTTAGGTTCGGTCATATATCTACGTTAATTTTAACTCCAATAAAAAAAATTGACCTCATACATAATGAAATGGGTAGCTTTATCATTTCATAAGAAAAAAATTAGAAAAAATATATTAATTCAGGAAAACTTGGCTTATTAGGCAAATCGGGCCTTGAATAGTAGGCCAAAAAGTGAGTTCTGGCTACTAGGTACGACATATATATATATATATATATATATATATATATATATATATATATATATATATATATATATGTGTGTGTGTGTGTGTATTGAAATACATATAAATTAAACACTATAATGATACAATATTTACAATGTAATATTTACCATCAGTGCTGCAGAATATACTACAGGTGGTTGTATGTTGTTGTCTCCCCTGACACAGGGGCTACGATCAGCCCGTCCTCCTAAGGTTTCAAAACGTCAAGAAAACAGTTAATTTAAAAAGTGTCCTCTGCTAACCTAACAGATTAAGGCAGACGACCCCAAACAGAAAACGGGACAGTACGTCACTTTCGCGAACCGCTTCCAATTTCAAGTACGACGATTTTTTGTCCTTAATAACGCTTACGAGCGATAAGCGACGTTCTTTGTAAGAGTCTAAATTCCAACCCGTCCTCGACTCAAGTCCATTACATTCAGCGGTCGACCCCACAGACGCATTCATAAATTTTAACATGCTGTTCATTCAAAACGGGAATTTTCTCAAGTATAAATTAATATTATAATATATTGGCATATTGTGTATATATAGGCATAGGATAGGTTAGGTCAGGTGTTTAGGTTCTGTTGGCGATTATTTGTATTTGTAGTACGTGGGTGAAGCATTTATAGCGTTGTGATTCGAACAAAATTCGTCAGTGAAGCACTTGTTCCGGATATGTTCGAACGTCAGCAGTTGTGAGTCGTGTGTAAACCGCTTTTCATTCATAAACAGGGGGTTTGGTGGGTGCATGGAATCACTTTTGGATCTTTGTTTGGAGGACGGGCTGCTAAATTCAGGGTCTAAATTCACGAAGCAGTTACGCAAACACTTACGAACCTGTACATCTTTTCTCAATCTTTGGCGGCTTTGTTTAAAAATTATTAAACAGTTAATGAGCTCCGAAGCACCAGGAGGCTGTTTATAACAATAACAACAGTTGAATGGGAAGTTTTCATGCTTGTAAACTGTTTAATAAATGTAACCAAAGCCGTCAAAGATTGAGGAAAGATGTACACGTTCCTAAGTGCTTGCGTAAGTGCTTTCGTAAATCTGGCCGCAGGTGTCTTGAACGCGGTGAGAATACCTTCAGCTACCTCATCCTTTTATACGCATTTTGATCAATTTTATTTAATGTAAGAACATGGAAACACTGCATTTGGTGTAGTAACCCATGCGAGGCGGGTCCGGGTTACATTCATGATGTCTATACATGTTATTAAATATTACCAATAGTTATATTTCACTGCAACTTCAAAAGTTTGTTCCTCTCGTTTATGATTATATAGAAGACTCAATATTTTCCTGTATTTTCCTTTCTAATTTTAGATGAATTGGAAACCTTGGGAGAAATTCCTGTCCTCCTAATCTACCAGAGGACCATAACCTGGTTTTTTGGGGTCATTTTATTTGGAAAAATAATTAAAATTTTGTTGAAAATTCCAATATGGGGATTTTTGGCCGTAGCCATACGAGCGAAAAGCGACGTAATTTGTAAAAGGACGGATTGCATCATCGGTGGTCAGGAGTCACACCAGTGGTTAGGAGTCACACCATCAGTGGTCAGGAGTCACATCAGTGGTCAGGAGTCACACCATCAGTGGTCAGGAGTCAAACCATCAGTGGTCAGGAGTCACACCATCAGTGGTCAGGAGTCACACCATCAGTGGTCAGGAGTCACACCATCAGTGGTCAGGAGTCACACCATCAGTGGTCAGGAGTCACACCATCAGTGGTCAGAAGGCGTCGCCACAGACTTGGAACCTCCAGACATTGTCAGCTTAAACTTGCTGTTATCTTTCTGAAGTTTATCAATGAGAGAGTTGAACATGTAGTTGAGGAGGAGCAGGAGGCAGGGCACCAGGAGGATGAGGGCGAAGGTGCAGCGCATCACCCAGTAGTGGAAGGAGTGGCGGTAGGACATCTTGCTGACAAAGGTGGGCACGGCAATGTCTAGGGTGTATGCCAAGTAGCGGAACATGGCGGGGTACGACGTGGCTGGTACAATGTAACTCATACCCTTGATCAGAGAGGTCGCCATGTGCTCGTAGTTCCAGTCGACCTTGGCCAAGAGAGGTATAAAAATAAGACGTTCCACCTCAAGACACAATGCCTTCGTCTCGGCCACTGTGCCGCTGCAGAAGTTGTACTGATCCTCGATGCCCATGAGCCAGCCAAGTCCTCGCCAGAAGTGGATCAGACCCGCCATCTCTTCTTCAGTAGCGGACCCAGTACCCAACTTCTCCGGATGGGCCACTACCAGCCCCATGAACGCGTACTGCGTCAGGCTCATATCCAGCTGATTTATGTACACAACCGGACCGTCTGAGGTCTCTGTGGGAAGTGTGTCTTCAGCCACACGCTGTAGATCTTGACGAATAGCCGAGTTGAGAGAGTCAGCCGGCTCTTCGTGTCCCTTCTTAGCAACGCTGATAGTCGACAATTTCTCATTACAGGCGGAGTTGTTGAAGGTTTGTGCTAACTTGCAGTGAATGGAGCGAATGGCCAATATATCCTTATGAGCAGGATGGCTCGGTTCCCAGACATCTCCCGTGAACCAAGTGATAAGGTGCAGCAACGTAGAGAAGTAGCGTCTCAGGGCCTTGATCGGGGTGTCGGAGCGCCCCGTGTAGATCAGAGGTTTGAGTGCACGCTCCGCGCTCAGCGTCATCACTAAGGACAACAAATCAGTAAAGCATAGACAGTAAAGGTAACGCTGATAAAACTTTCTTCCCCGGTTAAACATCTCTCGGTCGAGCCACGGTGGAGGTTGTGGAGGGTTGTCAGACACTCCTGGATAACTGATACCTTCCAGCAGTTGAGTCAAGCGAGGCGACGGTAAAACACTGCTGCGGACGACCACCTCCGGGGCTGAGCCAGAGATTAATGAGGTAGAAAGATGTGGGTCTCTGGCAGACGAGGTGGGCAAGTGTGAGTTTCCAGAAGATAAGATGGGCAGGTGTGGGTCGCCATCAGGTAAGGCGGACAGGCGTGGGTCTCCATCACGTAAGGTGACGCGGTGAGGACACTGCTCCCTCAGATATTCCTGGTCGACACACGTAGACAGCTGTAGCAAGCCACCAGCCAGGGCAGGACAGGCAGACACGCCAGCCATGGTGTCCACCGCAGCCATCATCCACTGCAAGTGAAGACAGTAGAGAATGATTCTTGTCAGTGTAAAATGTATTAGTAAAATTTGCCTACTGATATTTTTTTTTTGAGATATATACAAGAGTTGTTACATTCTTGTACAGCCACTAGTATGCGTAGCGTTTCGGGCAGGTCCCTGGAATACGATCCCCGCCGCGAAGAATCGTTTTTACAACCAAGTACACATTTTACTGTTGAGTTAAACAGAGGCTACAGTTAAGAATTTGCACCCAGTAAATCCTCCCCAGTAAATCCTCCATATAATGAAATGCTAATTAATTTGTAAAACTATTGTTTGTAATACTTGCTATTTCCACAATTTTCAATTTAATTCAATAACTTGGGTCATAAATGGTTGTATATTTACAACAGACTTAGCTTACACAATGATAATTCGTTGTTAACTTATACAGGAAAAAGTAATAATAATAATAGCCTAATACTGATAATATTATACATTATATATTACAAAATAACCATGTCCATTATGACAGACACTGAACATATGAAACAGATAATACAAACAATAGCAATTGTTAGTTTTAATAACGTTAATATAAAATTAATAATGTGCACATTCGTACCCGGTTATATGTAAGTTTCTGTCTATGGGTAGTTTAGGTAAGTTTAGTTGTTTAAGTATGGTAAGTTAGGTTAAATTTAGTTACGTTAAGTTTTGGTTCACTTTAGTATTCTCATTGTCGGTGACGAAGCCTGTTTGGCTTAAAAAATGGAGGTTCTTTTAATCAACAACTGACCTCTCCCAGGATGCAACCTACAACAGTTCCCCTAACAGGTACCCTCCTTGGCACCTGGGAGGGTATTTACTGCTTGGTGAACAGAGGCATCAGGTGAAATGAAACGTGTCCCACCGTCTCTGTACCAGCACCAGTGTGTACGCGTGTTAATGTGTACGAACGTTAGTATGTACCAGCTCTAGTGTACGAGCGTTAGTCCGTATACGCACTATCCCATCAATGTGTGTACATAGCCGGGCTGGTATATATATATATATATATATATATATATATATATATATATATATATATATATATATATATATATATATTGTGACGATAATCTCCTTCAAGAGATTGAGCCTGCTCTTCCCTCCATAATTACGTCTTCACAATTATATAAAAAGACTATGGAAGAAATGTCCAACAACGACAACAACACCAGCAAGGCTTGCCAGGGTGAGCAAAAACGTATGCAGCCAGCCACCTGTTCGAACTCCAACCACCAAACTACCCGTTGATCGCTACGGCTCCGCTGATTGGTCGCCGGTCTGGCTGCACCTGCCTCGCCCCCCCCCAATACTACCTGATGTCTGGGGTCGCCCCAACATCAGTCTTCAGAATGTTCAGTGCTTTCGTAGCCAGCACTCCTCCCAGCTAGACGTTAGCGTGTACCGAGAGAGGTGGTGGCTTTAAGCCAATATTCCAGCACCTCCCACTTACCTTTGTGTTGCACTTCTTGTTATTTTGCCTTAACGTAACTTTTCATTGTGTCATTTAATTATTCTTATTATTTTGATTGATTGATTTTATTATAAGAATTTGTTTGTGCATTTTATTCATGTTTTGATTTATTTAACGTAATTAAAATTTCATTGTTAAAGTTTACTTGTGTTTTGTGTGTCTTCTCCTTACCTTACCACAGACGAAGTTCCAGTTTTTTCTATTTTTTTTTATAACTATGTGACGAGGCCATACCCCTAGCCTTAAACAGCCGAACACCAACGCGTTACCGTCACAATATATATATATATATATATATATATATATATATATATATATATATATATATATATATATACCAGCCCGGTATATATATATATATACGCTTTTCTTACAAGACAATAAAGATGTCCGATTGGCTTTCATCACCCTTCAGACTTTCAAGGGCAAGCTTATCTTGCAAACAGATATAAAAACCAACAAAAACCTTGTTCCACCACTCAAAAAAAAAAGGAAAAACGACACCCAGTACAGAAACAAAACACTGGAAAAAATTTGAAGTTTTTATGACGAGGCTTCCATGATGTTGACCTTGGGTGGAGCAGTTCTCATATTTCCTCTTCCATATTTCCTCTTCTAAATATTCTTGTTTTCTCTTCTAAATATTCTTACGTTTCCTCTTCGAAAAATTTGTATCTATACAAAATATTGAATTTCTATTATTTCATGGCCTGGGATTAATTATGTTAATTATAAAGTGAGTTAGTATGTTGTTTTCCATTATCTAAAATATGGCTGTTCTGAAATTAGCGTTAGTGTATTTTTTTTACAGAAATCACGTTGTTTATAATGCCAGTCTGCTGGTGTGGTGTAGGGCTGTTATAGTGCCAGTCTTCTGGTGTGGTGTAGGACTGTTATAGTGCCAGTCTGCAGGTGTGGTGTGGGGCTGTTATAGTGCCAGTCTTCTGGTTGTTGTTGTTGTTATAGATTCAGTTACTCGGAACAAGTTCCAAGTGGCACGGGCTATGGTGAGCCCGTAGTGGACTTACCTAGCACAGGAGCGGGGCTGTGTAGACCTGTTCTTCTGGTGTCGTGTGCGGCTGTTATAGTGCCAGTCTGCAGGTATGGTGTAGGACTGTAAGGGAACCTAAACTCACCTCGTGTAGTGGCAGTGCACAAGGTACAGAGGTCTCTGACCCAGGAGCAACATTCATTATCATTACAAGACTTTCATGACACGAAGAAACCTGATGGTTCCCAGCCAGCTCCTCTGAGCACCGGAAAGAGAGAGAGAAAAAAAAAGAGACATTAAATGACATGCTCCTCGTACGCAAGCTATTGTTCCAGTCCCTCCAGGCCATTCTTGCTTGTAACTAACGCAACACAATTTGCCGCAGGCAATGCACTCGAGATTTGACTCGGTTATGAACCTGTTTGTTATGCACTCCCAGCTGCTTCGCCCACCGAGGTAGCTCGGGCAGGTTTCTTATTGGTAGCTTAATGGCCTTGAAGGTGATGGTTGGTGACATGATGAGGCACTTCAGGTTGTTTGATGTAATACCCGGCTTAACTCTTATGAAACCCACCTAAAGTAAGGTGGTGTGAATGCAGTTAGTGGATTATATAGCTCAACATGTTTATAAAATATTATAGCTATTTTCTTCAGCTTATATATTTTATTGACGCACCGATAAGGCTTAAATAGTAAAATAGAGTCCCTTACGGTATTCTTCAAAGGTCTAACATTTACCTCCTTAAGACTCCAAAACACTTTCTGATATGCCTACATTATCAGAAACGTGAACTAAGTTCCTAAAACACCAACTAGGAGGCTGCATTTCCAGATGATTTTCTTCCCATTTATAAAAAAAATGATCGGGTACGTTTTTCTTACAGCTGATGCCTCTGTTCCCTTGGCAGTAAGTTAAGTACTAGGCGCTAGTGACATGAGGGGACCTCGATTAACATAATAGGTTTACTGTTGTCGATAAAAATGAATCAAAATACTTTCGTACAAGCATATTAAAGATATATTAAATAAACGGAGAAGGACACCATCGTAAGGGATCATTCCTACTGCCGATACAATGTAATGTGTACTGTGTGGGAGTGAAAATAAAAGACTGTTCGAGATATGACTGCAAGTTGGGCCGGTTTGGCAGCTAGGTTAGCTGACCTTCAATCAGTCTCGCGCGCGCGCGTACTCTCTCTCTCTTCCACACACCCAAACACACACACACACACACACACACACACACACACACACACACACACACACACACACACACACACACACACACACACACACACACGTTAAACCCGGCCGATAAATCGGTTGCAAAACATATTTGTCAACAAAGCCTTGGGCTGGTCACAGTTTTGAAAGGCGCGATGAGGCTACAGAAACGATTCATGATATTGTTGTTATATTTCAACGTTCCTGTTAATGGTGTCATCAGTTAGACGACAGTTTACAGTAGTGTAAACCTTGTCAACAGTCAAATATAGTGGGTCACATATGAGTACACAAATGGTCTGGCGTGAACCATAATAAATGGATAACTTCATATTTAACCTTCGTAATGCTATGAAAACGTTTCTTTGGCCTCAATGGAAATGATCAGCATTTTAGTTGATTTCTCACCATCACTTTCACTATACCTCCACCACCACACCACACTAGCCCCGTCCTCCAAAGGTTCCCCAACGTCAAGAAAATGGTAAATTTAGACTGTCCTCTCCTAACCTACCAGAGGACCCAAAACCGAAAACGGGACAGTACGTCACTTTCGCCAGCCGCGTCCATTTTCTAGTATGACAATTTTGGGTCTTATGTAACGCATACGGTCGAAATGCGACGTTCCTTGTAAGAGGACAGGTTGCCACGCCTACTCATCCAACCTGTCCTCTTACAAAGAACGTCGCTTTTCGCTCGTATGCGTTACTAAGGCCAAAAATCGTCGTACTAGAAAATGGACGCGGCTGGCGAAAGTGACGTACTGTCCCGTTTTTTGTTTTGCGTCCTCTGGTAGGTTAGGAGAGGTCACTTTAAATTAACCATTTTCCTGACGTTTTGAAACATTAGGAGGACGGGCTGACTCATCCACATGCCACCACAATCGGTCACCCCACCACAACACACACCTACAACCCGCCGCTACATCATACATAACCAAACCACCACCAGACTGTCACAACAACAACAGCAACCACAGCCTGTCACACTACCACATTGCGCAAACCACAAGCCCACGGAAAACACAAATATTTGTAAATATGTACCTACCGAACATGAGTCACGAAACAGCCAATACAACCACCTCCTGTTCCCTTCAATGTATTGTACAGTAAGCTGCTTCAAGTTTAGCATTGTCGCGATAAATGCTTAATTTGTTACAAAATCAAATAAATATATGGTCGTTTGCAAGGCAACATTATACAAACATTGCATAAAACATCTATACGGACATCTGTCGTTTTTAATTAATTGTATTGATATTATTATGATATAGTATAAACTGGTTTTTGAGGCTACAGTGCGTGATATGTTGATTTTCGAATGGGGTCAAGGCAGGCTACACTCCTGATAACAGTACTAGAGGAAACCCTCAAGGGGTAGATCTGACCCATGCAAGCAATAACACAGGAAACCCTCAAGTGGTAGACCTGACCCATGAAAGCGATAACACAGGAAGCCCTCAAGGGGGTAGATCTGACCCCATGAAAGCAATAACACAGGAAGCCCTCAAGGGGTAGATCTAACCCCATGAAAGCGACACGACAGGAAGCCCTCAAGGGTAGACTTGACTCAACACTGACAGACGTCTCTCTTGGTGCACGTTCTTGTGACCTTGGTCGATGACATGTAACTAAAAGTGAAGCCGAATAGTATTGGTGTCAGGGAGGATGAGCGGTTGCGGCCAGAATTGGCGGCTGGTTGCGGTTACGCCGCACGTAATTCTTATCATTTTGCGGGTTATTTCAATTATTTTTTTTAAGATTGATTTGTGGGAAGAGGAACGAAGACAATTGCTATACAGAGTTTAAAGAGAAGACAAGAGTTGAGTTTGGAGTTGAAAATGTTGTGCAGAGATCTTTTACTATTCGAATTCACTCACTAAAACAACTAAATAATTCCGACCGCTTAAAATTTCCCAATCCGTAATATTTTAGAGTGTAAGTGAGAGAGATGAATAATAAATTACACCTGGAAAATAGTAGAGGGACTGGTTCCAAATGTGCACATGGAAATAACTCAACATGAGGCTAGGGGGACGCGGCAAAAACTGCCATGGAATTCTTGTGTGGTCAGAGACCCCGCCGCAGGTACCCTGAGCCTCAGGACTCTCTCATGAAGGGTAGTTGTATAAGATTAAGCGCAGGTTTTGTCTGCTGGAATACTTAAGTGTGGCTTCTCTCGGAGGTGCTCATCAGTAACCTCACACTACCACAACATCACCTCACACTACCACAACATCACCCCTCACACTACCACATCACCTCACACTACCACAACATCACCCTCACACTACCACAACATCACCTCACACTACCACAACATCACCTCACACTACCACAACATCACCTCACACTACCACAACATCACCCTCACACTACCACAACATCACCTCACACTACCACAACATCACCCTCACACTACCACAACATCACCTCACACTACCACAACATCACCCTCACACTACCACAACATCACCTCACACTACCACAACATCACCTCACACTACCACAACATCGCCTTAACACAGCTACTCATCACAAACAGATGATCAAGCGAGAGGTGTTATTAAATAAATAAAATTGTAATCATAAAGGATAGACTGGGAAAAATAAACAGAGACCTTACACACATTCAATGGGAAACTGTTCTAAGGAATAAAAATCCCAATCCCACGCGAGGACTAGAACAACTGACTTCCGAAGCATATAAAGTTTGTCTGAAACATGTTCCTTCGCGGAAAGCCAGAAAGGACACCATGGAAGAATGAAAACGCAGACGACACGACAAAGGAAAACAATAACGGAAATGCTTAGGTAGACACGCCTATCCTCACAAAAAAGGAAAAATGTAAACAGTGAGATTGAAGCAATCATATCAGATTGAAGAACTGTAATTAGAACAGAAAGCAATTTAAGAGATAAAGAAAAACCGAAATTCACATATACGAAATGAAAATTAAAAACCACTGTCAATATTGGATTTATTCTTGCAAGTGAAGGTTCATACACAAATGATGACAAAGAAATTAGTGAAATCCTAAAAAAAGCAGTATGAGGACACGTTTAACACTCCAATAAACAGCATGAAAGGGGAAGATCCGGACAGCTTGTTTATGCGTAACATCCAAACTCTTGAAAATATAGCTGATATTAACACGAACGCTACAGATTTTGAAAGATAAATTTACAACATGGCCATGCACTCAGCCCCAGGTTCAAACTCCTGGAACTCAATATTTATAAACAAATGCAAAGTGATAGTAGCACAAGTACTAAGTGTAGTGTGGAGGAAGAGCTTGGACATGGGGGAGATACCAGATGAACTTAAATCAGCAGACATAGCCTCTCTACACAGTTAAGAGCGGGGAAGATCATACCTCTCGCAGCTACTTCACCACTACAACAAAATCACTGAGGCATTAGAAGAAAAACAGAATGACGATGCGGACTTTGCATAGGCATTTGATAAAGATGACCATAGGAGGCCTGGTCAAGGACCGGGCCGCGGGGACGCTGAGCCCCGAAATCATCACAAGGTATGGAGTGATAGCCCACAGAATGAGGTCAATAGAAATAACAGGTAAAGTAGGACGCTGGATAAAAATTTTCTGTCAAACAGAACGCAAAGAGTAATAGTTAACCAAATAAAATCCAAGCACAGTGAAAAGCTCTGTACCTTAATATACAGTATTTACACCACTGCTTTTCTTTATTCTCATATCAGATATAGACAAAAATACAAGTCACAGCTTCGTATCGCCTTTTGCAGATGACACAAAAATCAGCATGAAAATTACTTCTGTTTTAGATATTGAAAAACTACAAGCTGATATTAATAAAATTTTCGATTGAGCAGCAGAAAATAACACGAGTGTTTAACAGCGAAAAATTCCAGGTACTCAGGTACAGTAAAAATGAGAACCTTAAACATAATACAGGGTACAAAACACAATCAAATCTGCCCTTAGTAGGAAAGCAGCATGTAAAGGATCTGGGAATAATGATGTCTGACGACCTAACGTTTAGGGAGCATAACCAAGAAAATATAGCGGTTATTACTTGATAATGGTCCAGGACGGACCAAAACCTCGTCTCTTCTCCATCTTCTGAGTTGTGGTTAGTCATCATTTCTTCAGCCAAGTGTTGGACCAACCGGGCTGTAGTGGATATGTGGGCCTACGGGCCGCTCTAAGCAACAACCTGTTGGGCCAAGTCAAGTCTGGCCACGGGCCGGGCTTGGGGAGTAGAACGCCCAGAACCCCATCCAGGTGCAAATAATCACTGTACGACCACAGGGGTCCCACAGGGGTCCCACAGGAGTCCCACAGGGGTCAGCACTAGGGCCGCACCTTTCATTCAATGTTCCTCGATGATCCAAAAATTATGATCATGATAAGTACAATGGGAAGACCACTAGGAACTGTAGTGGTCTTATTCACCAGGTCACCTCGTAGTGTGACCTGGAGGGTAAATACTGGAAGAATGTTCAGGGAAATGGCTACTAGAATTTAAAGCAAGCAAGTGCAATTGCACGGTTAACCAATTAACCTAAAAACTCTCTTAGAATCTCAAGTCGTTCAGGACTTTGTATACCACGCATGTCAGACTAACTCTGGGATACGCAGCACCAGCCTGTGGAGTACTTATTTCGCTTAACATGAAAAAATCTGAGGGTAACCCTTCAGCTTCAGCCCAGAGCTGAAAGGCATGATCTACGAGGAGACTCGCAGTTTAACTCCTTTGAGTTAAACCATCACGTTACTAGAAGAGAGAAGCAAGAGGATGGACATGATCACCACATACAAATTTTCTTGGGAATAGACAGCACAAACAAACTATTTAATAAAGAAGAGAGTAAAATTCAAAGTTAAAGCCATAAGAATAATGTTGTTTAGAAACACAAATAATATTATCAGTCAGTAAACTGTAATCTCTATAGATGAGAGGACAGCAAGAGGTGACACTGGTACAGCTTTTAAAGGAACAATTCCACATCATATTTACCAATTTAAAGTTATGACGAACAGAAGTCCCTAGCACGGACAGCCGGCGCCAACAGGAGTCTCTTCTATGGGACAGAGTGCCACAATACGTGGGAGTGGTGTGTGGTCGAGCACACTCACACAGTCCGCACAGACCGGGGTCAGCCAGGTGACTGAGGCGAGACACCAGAAGCATGTCTTGGTGTGGGTGAACACACTCACGAACACACGACACCTCCACGCACCTTCCCACGCCCCCCCCCCCAGGCACAGACATCCCCGCCGCGCGTATATAAACAAAATTTCATTTTCACACCCATTACGGGCTATTCATGCCCGTGCCACCTCTTGGGTGAATTAATCTTCATCAATCAAATTCACACACATTTTACGGGTTATTCATTCCCGAGAATCTTTATCAATAAATCTTCACGCACACTCACAGCTCTGGCGTAGAACCGTCACCTGGTAAAGCACAAAATTCAACAAGAAATGCTAAGAAGATATCCAACAAAAGAATCATTCCCGAGCCGAGTGCCTAGGGCATCTGGGCTATAGGGAAAGAGTTCGGGTTGTTGTTATTGTTATAGATTCAGCTATTCGGAACAAGTTGCAAGTAGCACGGGCTATGGTGAGCCAGTAACTTACCTGGCACAGGAGCGGGGCAAGAAGCACGGGCTATGGTTAGCCTGAGAGTTGGGGAACTGTAACTATCAACATGGGAGAAGAGAGGTGACATGATAACGACATAAAATTCTTTGAGGAATTGGCAAAATGTTCAAGAAATAACGTCTTCAGTATTACAATTGTAAAAAAGATAAATGAGTTAACCAAGAATTCGTTAAAGCTATTTAATACACAGCTTTAAATGGAAATATAAGAGAACGGGGAAACTGAGTCATTGCATTAAAATAATAAATGTCCGGAAGGCGGGGCTAGGAGCTAATACTCGACACTTAAAGTGGGATATGCAATAGAATCGTAGAGATAAATGTAAGAAAATTACGTACCCAGTATAGGTGGTTGGTGTATGGAATACACTGAAATAAGTTGTTGAAGCCTCATCCATCCTCAACTGTAAGAAAAATTACGACACAAAATTTGAAAATCAAGAGAAGTAAAAAAATGCTGTAGTTATTAAAGGTTAGGAAGCAGGGCATCAAGGTAGACCTCACTCCATAGTGGTCTCTGATAGGTATTACTCGACATTCACACACACGCAAGATTAGTCACTAAAACACGTGATTGGGTTATGAGTAAGTCTCCACTAGACTAGGAAAATGAAACGAAAATTCCGAACGTATTATTTTCCTAGTGGAGACACGCACGCACACACACACACACGCACACGCACACGCACACGCACGCGCACACGCACACACGCACACACACACACACACACACACACACACACACACACACACACACACACACACACGCACACCCATACGCACACGCACGCGCACACGCACACACGCACACACACACACACACACACACACACACACACACACACACATGGAGCTAATGTTGTGTATGTGGAAACAAAATTTGTTAGTAGTTAGTAACAGTTAATTGACTGACAGTTGAGAGGCGGGCCGAAAGAGCAGAGCTCAACCCCCGCAAGCACAACTAGGTGAATACATGTGTGAAACATATGGGTAGAGTTTCCTTGACTGGTTTCTCTGTTCATCTAGCCGTAAATATATACTTGGGAGATAGACAGCTGCTACGGGCTGCTTCCTGGGAATGTGTGTGTGCGCGTGTAAAAGAGAAATATATGTAGGGGAAAAATAAAATAAATGGGGTAGAATGGCGGGGTCCAAGAGCTAATAGCTGCACTCCGCAGGCACAAATAGTAAATACACACACACACAAAGGAAAGGGAAATAGCAGGAAGGTAAAACTATAATCATGGCCAAAATATCATCTATTTCCCTTAACTCAGAATTAGGCTGTCACATTCCCTCCCCCCTTTCCCCTCTATTTTCTTCCTTTCCGCTGCTCTCTTCTAACCCATCTCATCCCCTTCCCCCCTTCACCCCCCCCCCCAACACAAACTTTCCCACCGTCGCTATCGTGAACCCGAACCTCACCTCAGCCCCACCGCCCGTTCTAGTAGTCTGTTGTTGTTGTTTTAGATTTAGCTCTTCAGAACGACATGTCCATGTAGCACGGGCTATAGTGAGCTTGTAATTGAGTTCAGTTATTCGATCTCGTTACTGTCATATTTGGGTCAGAGTTTTAAATGGAGGTGGGGTTTCCTCATTTTCTCCCGTTTCTTTTCCACTTCTGTTTTAACGTACTGGTTTTTAGTCTTTTGTTAACATTATCTTGGTGGCGGATATAAATGCACTGTGTTCACTAGTGTATCCCATTCTTTAATTACTTTTCTGATCATTGTAGTCGCTGTGGATTTTGCAATTAATGCAGCTGCTCTTGTTGCATGAATGTTGAGTTTGATGCGCAGGGCTTCAGTAACTTCACATTCCAGTTAGTAGTGTAATAGTGGCGCCTCTGCATCTGTTCCACAGATATGACACTCTTTAACTATTGGGATTATTATCTTCCAGCAGCACTTGTAGCCAAGTCTGAGTCTGTGTATGGCTACTGCAATGTCTCTGGATATCTTTTTGTCAGGCTTGAAAGAGGAGTAACCAGTGGCTTGTTCGTACCATATCGCAGTGGATCTTCCTTCCGCTACTGTGGCTCTGTGGCGACTTTTGATAGTTGGGAGTATTTTCTTCTTGATTTTTTCCTTAATCTGTGAAAAACTTGGAGGAATTTTAACCTGTAAAATAGATAGAACAGTGACAGCGTTTGCTAGTAAGTCTGCCTATTCATTATTATCTATGCCAATGTGACTTGGTATGCAATTTAGGGTGATTGGCAGCCCTAGATTGACCCCTAGATAATGGGCTTCTTTTCCTATATGTTGGATTTCTGTGATAAGTTGTATATTTTCTTTGTGTTGACTGGATAACAATGCCTGGAACGAAGATTTAGTCGATGTGAATGACGACATCATGTAAATTATAGTACCTACGGGCTCACCATAGCCCGTGCTACTTGGAACTGTTTGTTCCAGGTAGCGAATCTTTAACAACAACAAATGTAAAATATTCTCAATTACATAATTTATTGCCTCTATCAGGGCATATAATTCTGTTTGCAATATTGAGCACCCACTGTTCATGCTCCAGTAAGCTTCATGGTTGGTAGTGTAAATTGCTGCCCCAGCAGAACCTCTTTCTTGATCAACTGATCCGTCTGTGAAGATGTGAGTCGTTGTAGGTCTTGAGATGGTTTCCATTTGTTGTTCTATGACTGCTTTGATCCAGTTTACATGACTAGCTCTCATGTAAACTGGATAACATAAACAACATAGTTTACAATGACAACATACAGAACATCGTTCAGGAACCTAAATGAGGAAGCATTTAGATCACTGTAACATTGCCTCCGTGAGACCAGCATTATGCCGCGCCATGTTGTAGTATGCCGCCACGACATGGTGTGTGTGTGTGTGTGTGTGTGTGTGTGTGTGTGTGTGTGTGTGTGTGTGTGTAAAAAAATAGTTAGTAAAAGTTGATTGACAGTTGAGAGGCGGACCGAATGAGCAGAGCTCAACCCCCGCAAGCACAACTAAGTGAATACACATCTTGAAGGCTAGATCTCAGCTCCATTCAGAATACAGAATGATGCACAGCAAGAAGAGCCTAGCAGTGATTCTCAAAGTTATTTGTATTTATGCTACTTGGTTCTGTAGGCCGTAGACCTAGAGAGAGAATGGGCCGGATTCAGGAAGGTACTTACGAAGGTTTTTCCTCTTAGCTAAGAGCGTTTTCCGTCTTAGCGCCTTCGTGGCGGCTACGTCCGTATTCAATTAACTACCCTAAGTGGAAAAACCTTCGTAAGTTCATTCCGGGATTAAATGTGGTTTCGACCACTCGTAGCTTTACGTAAACTGGATATAAGTCATTTTTTCTCTACTACATAACACTGGGATCGATTTATGATATGGAACATGACCAAAATATTATAGCTGGTGCATCTAGTGAAGAGGAGTCCTTCGTGTTAGTTATATATGCATTCTCTGCTTGAAACTTGAAGTAAATATGTGTTTGATGATAGTAGAATTAGTTTTATAATAGCAAGATATTATACCAGTAGTTATTAAGTAAATAAACACTGGTGAACATGAAATATGAGAGAAGGTGATGAGCCCTGCCTGATGGGATCATTTACTATCACCAAATGCCCCTGTTCACCTAGTAGTAAGGGTGTACCTTAGCTATACATACCCATTTCTAATTTATTTAGTTTGGTTTTATTTTGAAATTAAATCTGGGTGAGACATAAAATAAAAATATGCTGCACAAATGATGTTAGGTAAGGAAAAGGATAAAAATGTCAAAAACTTTATTCATTGATTACTTAAAGCTATAATTATGACTATATAGATTATTAAAAAAGAGAGAGGGAAGTAGGGGTCCAAGACCTCTTCCTGTTATACAATTTGGGTGTGGAACAAGTAATTATCAAAAGAAGGCACCATGCCGGGAAGGCTATGTAGCAGTAAGGCAGTGAGGTGAGGCAGCTACTTATTTGAGAAATGCTTATTTTATTTACCTTATAAGCTGAGGCAACTTATTTTATTTGAGGAATACTCAGCTGATTCCTCTACATTTAGCATGGAACAAATTTGTGTCCAAGACCTCTTCCTGTTACTCAATTTGGCTGTGTGTAACCAAACTAGAAGTGCTCTACAAATCAAGGGACCCAGAATGTGGAATGACCTCCCGAATCATGTCAAAGGCTGTACCTCTCTCAACCAGTTTAAGAGTTAAACCAAGTACTGCCTAATTAACTCCATGTAACCTAACTTACCTCCTAAATGTCAACCCATGTCTTGCTATTTTTTAAACAACGCTGTTCACCAACATGTGCAATTGCTGATTTATGCTATGTTAACCCCCTTTTTGTATTTTTTATTCCTTCTTTCAACACAATTTATACCTAATCCCGATTACTATTAAGTTTTAGTCTGTGTTTTTTCCCCCACACCTTGCCCGAAATGCTATGAGTATTAGTGGCTTTAGGTATTGTATGTACTAGCTCTGCCTATAAATCCATCATTATGTTTGTAAATCAACTGTATGTACTTTTCCTGAATAAAATGTATTTATTTTTTATTTTTAATCAGTAAGTATTAAAAGAAGGCACCAAGCTGGGAAGGCTATGTAGCACCATTGTGTGTAACAATAAACCAAATTTTTTTAACAAACAATGCACCTGTATGGGAAAACAAATCCTGTCAGCTGTAAAAATATTGATGCAGTTATTTAAATGAAAAATATAATGAAAGAAATATTACTGGTTTATTTTTATCCTATCTTTTTGTACTGTACAGTATATCCAAGGAAGTGAAAAATTGAGACATAATGCACAATTTAATGAATGATTAGTAGTTCAAAAGAAATATGACTTGTATTACATATCAACATGAGATCTTAATGATCCATGGTCAACATGATTTAATAAGGATAATACAGTACTGTATTTGTAATACAAACTATAATTTAAAATCTTTATTACTGATTTTTTTTATTAAGAAGATTAGGTATACACAGCAATGTGCTGCTACCCTATTCTATATGGAATATTACACAGTGTAGATAAAAAACTAGCTATAAATTTATCTAATACTCCCATCTCACAGGATGGTTAGACATACTGTACATGGAATCAATTTAGAAAATACCAGCCTCAATACAAAAAACAAATCAACTCTGACTAAACAACTCTAAGCAATTTTCACAAGAGGTAAGCACTGAATCATGGAAACATTATATTATAATTACTCTTACCAGTTTCTACAAAACTCCTCTCAAACAATGTATTTTTAAACATGTTTAGGTATACACAGCAATGTGCTGCTTCCCTATTCTGTATAAAGGACCACACAGTGTAGATAAAAAACCAGCTACAAGCTCACCCAACATCCTCACCTCACAGGATGGCCAGTCATACATGGAATTAGGAGAGAACAAAATACTTAATGCTGATCTATTAGCCTCCACTGGCAAATTCTGGGTGCAGCACAAGAATATCTTCCAATATTCCTGAGTGTATGAAGTAATTACAGAGCTCAAAATACCTCATACCATTTGGTATGAAGTCACTGATAACAGGACAATCACAGATATAGTGTTGGAGAGTACGTTCTCTCAAGTAGGACTGAAAACAGATGTTTTTTTTCCACCAAGAGGACTATAAACCCATGGAACCGCCTACCCGCTGAAACCGTAAATGCCAAATTCCAGCTAAAAAATATCATTAAGACAATTGGCGGGCCCTTTAACAAGCCGCCGGCTTTCTGTCCTCTTCGAGGTCACTAGATAGTTAGTAGCCCTTGGGTAAATTCAGTAAATATATACAATAATTGTCAGCGCATCTTCCGAGCAACAAGGACAGCTACACAGTATCTCTTAGAATTACGTAGGTAAACAACAAATGTAACATATTTGTTTACTACAATGTCGGTGCTGGCTGTAGAAATTGAAAAAACATTGTTTTACTTCGAAATATACTAATTTTATAAGAAAATTCGACGTAAATAGGAGGCAGTAGAGCTCCGATAAGCCAGCGCTAAATCTTCAATATGAAGAATGTTGCTGCTCTCTGATTGGCCAAACGAAACACAGTAGTGACCTCTATCGGCACGCAGGTGAACCAACAATTTTCTTCCTAAGTATACCTTATTGAATCGCACCTAAGCATCTTCTTAGGGCGCACTTAGGAACCTTCGTAGCAAACCCACTTACGAAGAAATACACAGAGCTTCCTGAATCTAGGTCCAGGATACAGCAATGATAAAGCTTTCTTGTAGACACCAAACCGTCATTCTCTCCTGTGATGCCCAGCACTACGCCCCAGGGGCCAGATTCACAAAGCAGTTACGCAAGCACTTACGAACGTGTACATCTTTTCTCAATCTTTGGCGGCTTTATTTACAATTATTAAACAGTCATTGAGCTCCGAAGCACCAGGAGGCTGTTTATAACAATAACAACAGTTGATTGGGAAGTTTTCATGCTTGTAAACTGTTTAATAAATGTAACCAAAGCCGTCAAAGTTTGAGGAAAGATGTACACGTTCGTAAGTGCTTGCGTAACTGCTTCGAGAATCTGGCCCCAGACTCCTGTCTCGTCTGAGACAGTCTCACCTTCCAGTCAATCCTTTCCCTCGACTGACTGATAAAGATTAAGCCACCCAAGAGGTGGCACGGGCATGAATAGCCCGTAATCCTTTCCTTCTCTCGTGACGAGCTTTTACACCCGTCTATCCCCAATTTTCCGTTGAATGGACGGATTTGAATCTGGTAACAATGGACAGCCTTCCAACCTTTGAACTACTCGAGGTTTGATCTTACCTCAGGGACAATCACCTCCCAGTGAATGTCTGGTAAGTCAGGTATCATCCCAAGTCTCTACTCAAGTCACCTCAACAACTGTTACAACAGCTTGGGGACTTGGCGGACAAACACACACCTGAAGGACACACACCTGAAGGACACACACCCACACACACACCTTGAAGGCTAGATCTCGTCTCTACTCAGAATACAGAATGAAACACAGCAGGAATATACTGGCAGTGATTCACAAACATGTATATTTCTGCCAGTTGGTTCTATAGACTGCTCTCCAGTGTCTCCTACTCCATTTTGTACCTTCAATGGCGTTTTTATGATCATTTGTTAAACCAGAAGCTAGTGTGACCAATTCTCTGCTTCCGAAAACCAATTCACTGAGGCCAGCCGAGAGGTAGCCTGGTAAGACGTTAGTCGATTTGGCAATGTGAAGGGAAGCTTGTAATACAAGCCTAAAGAATGTAAGCGTCGTCACAAGGCCCAGAGAGACACTTCAAGATGTTACACGACCAAACATCACATTCACTCCAAACATCTATCACCTACGGGCTATTCATGCCTGTGCCACCTCTTGGGTGGCTTAATCTTCATCAATCAATCAATCAGACGCTCTAGAGATACGGCAGATCTTCAACACCATTGACATTCACCAGCAACAATGTAACACTCGACGAGTCAAGACGCTTCAGTCTCACTTGCTACAGAGCAGACAGCCAGATTCTGGCCGTATCCGAGCTTCCAGCTCTCGTCCCTCATTCGAGCACCGCACTCTATGCTCTCACCCCGTATCAGAGCTCTCTACCCCCCGGCCTGCTCCAGGCGTCGACTCAGCTATCAAGGCACATCATTACATGATCAACTGACTGCTGTAACCAAGACTATATGAAATAAATAAAAAAAACCCACTAAACTCTTTGAGTCTTAGCACTCAAACTCGTACACGTAAACATACGTTGCATATCCAACAAAATAACATCCTGAAGCTCTCAGACATATCTTTATGCAACATGTATCAATGGTCACAAAACGCACAGACCATCTAGAGTAGTCAATTGTAAAATATGGAGTCACCATCCTTGTACCACCGCTGACGAATATCAGGGCAGCCTTTAAGACACTAGACAATGACATCTATATTTTCCTTGCAGGACAGGATGTCTCACCTATAGGGGTGGATATCTCCCTTATAGGACTCCTATCTTGAGGTTATCTTGAGATGATTTCGGGACTTTAGTGTCCCCGCGGCCCGGTCCTCGACCAGGCCTCCACCCCCAAGAAGCAGCCAGTGACAGCTAACTCCCAGGTACTTATTTACTGCTAGGTAACAGAGGCATCAGGGTGAAAGAAACTCTGCCCATCGTTTCTCGCCGGCGCTCGGGTTCGAATCCGGGACCACAGGATCACGCGTAGTGTTCTGTCCGCTCAGCCACCGGCTTCACAACTCCACAGAGTATCTTCCTTGTAAAGTTCAATATCTCCCATTTAGGACTGAGTATCTTCCTTGCAGGACTGGATATCTACCTAGTAGGGCTAGGAATCTCCCTTGTTAGGCCAGACATCTCCCTTATAAGACTTGGTATGTCCATTTTAAGGCAGGATATCTCCGATGTAGAATTGAATATCTATCTCCCTTGTTGAGCTGAACATCATTACGGCAACGAAAACATATCACTTACAAAATATTGGTTTACTTGAATTTCTGAGCATTATCAACCTTTTGCAATTCGTTTTCCTTTGTCGCTGTCATACACTTACTCAGTACAGAATAACGGACATCAAATCCTGGGGGAAAGGGGTAGAAATAGCCTAAGCTACTCTATCCCTTTGAGATGTATTTTTTTGTCTCAATAAACATACTTGAACTTGAACATCAAATCCTGTTGAATTTATGCTAGGCTTCCCTTAAGAAGGTCGATTATTAACCCGCTTTCTTTCCAGTCGGTTGTAGAAAACGAGCATATGTAAACAATATGTAACAAGAGGCGGTGCAGCGAGCGGAGATGTTTCGTCTGCAAAATATCAGTATTTGTGAGATCATGTAGCTCAAAGCGTACAATGAGTTAAGGTACGTGATTTGTGTTTTTCTCTGCAGTTCATGTCTTTCAAAATCTTGAGAGGAGAATGTGCTTATGCGTTAGCACTGGACATCTATGAAACCCGAATGTCCCCTCAGTTTACAAGTCCGTACTTGATTGTTAAATATTATATAAACTTGAGCCTGATTATATTTGATTAACTTTGACTGACGGCACTGCAACATGATATCCTCATAAGTTCAGTGGCATGCACAAAATTATTTTATTGAAGCGTGCGGCAATGTTTTCTAATGGCGTGTATCATGCTTCCATGAAATTTAGAACCACACAAAAACCACGAAAATTGCCAAAATAGCTGATGCCTATGAATTGTTAATGCTCATGAACAGTTAATTCACAATTTCACTGAAACATGAATACTAATTAACCTATTGCTGAGTCGGAAATGCATCGCCAGTATTGCAAACTGAGATGGGCGACCAGTTAATTTTTGTAAACATACACTAGGGAGAGGCTTTAGACGTTGTTTGCGTGAAGGCTAAATGATTTTGATGCAAGCAAAAATTAATATTATCTTTGTACTTAAGAGGGACAACTGGAACCTCTGCCAAATTCGAAGATAACGAAATGAGTCTTACTGACAAAGATCTTCCATAAATATACATCCAGTCATCAGGGATTAGATCCCCTGAAGGGAGTGGACTAGGAACGACTGCATAACGTGTGCATTTATCTACTTTCTATCCATGGTTAAGTTAGGTTAAGGCTACTTTAGGTTAAGGTTTGGTTAGGTTTCATTACGTTTGGTTACGTTAATACGATGGTAATGTGAAAAATGGAATTCGAAAACAGTTTCAGTGTGCCCGGGAATTGTTTACAGAAAACCAAATTCGTCAAAGGAAACGTTCTCAGCGTATATTTTTTATCTTTTAAACCAACGATTTCTATTACATTAAAGTTACAAGATGAGAATAATCTCTGTTTACGATAAACGTTCATTTGCCAGTTTACATATAGAATATTATTGGAACCGTAATATGATTTCAGACCATCACAAATATCTAGATAACTATCCAAGTGATTTGAGGAGGGGTGTGGTTTCTCACGCTAATGGGTTTGGTCTGAGGACGGACTGAAATATAAAATTGTGTTGTGTCACTTGATTTATTGTTTGCTGGTAAATAGTGTCACACATCTTGTGGCCTCGTTTATAGCAGTGTAAGCAACCTGAAGGCTGTGGGAGGTCGAGACACTTCCTGTTTACCCGCGACACCACATATTTGGGAAGGACATATAGTTAATCTTCATAGCGCCAAGCTGGTCAGTCACAGCCTCGTTCCTGTGCCGGGTAAGTCCACTACGGGCTCGCCACAGCCCCGCTCCTGTGCCAGTTAAGTCCACTATGGGCTCAACACAGCCCCGCTCCTGTGCCAGGTAAGTCCACTACGGGCTCACCACAGCCCCGCTCCTGTGCCATTTAAGTCCACTACGGGCTCACCACAGCCCCGCTCCTGTGCCAGGTAAGTCCACTACGGGCTCACCACAGCCCCGCTCCTGTGCCAGGTAAGTCCACTACGGGCTCACCACAGCCCCGCTCCTGTGCCAGGTAAGTCCACTACGGGCTCACCACAGCCCCGCTCCTGTGCCAGGTAAGTCCACTACGGGCTCACCACAGCCCCGCTCCTGTGCCATTTAAGTCCACTACGGGCTCACCACAGCCCCGCTCCTGTGCCAGGTAAGTCCACTACGGGCTCACCACAGCCCCGCTCCTGTGCCAGGTAAGTCCACTACGGGCTCACCACAGCCCCGCTCCTGTGCCAAGTAAGTCCACTACGGGCTCACCACAGCCCCGTTCCTGTGCCATTTAAGTCCACTACTGGCTCACCACAGCCCCGCTCCTGTGCCAGGTAAGTCTACTACGGGCTCGCCACAGCCCCGCTCCTGTGCCAGGTAAGTCCACTACGGGCTCACCACAGCCCCGCTCCTGTGCCAGGTAAGTCCACTACGGGCTCACCATACCCCGTGCTACTTGCAACTTTTTGTTCCGAGTAGCTGAATCTAAAAAACAACAACAACCAAGCCAAGCTGGTGTATGATATTGCTCGCTGCACCGTGTACTTTCCCTCAGCACAGCCACATTGCGTAACGACCAGCACAACAGTCCAGGCAATATTATTGTGGTGAGTCTGGGCTGTAGCGCGCCAGCCAACGCTCCCCAGATTATAGGCGAAAGAAAATAATATACCAAAAAAGTATAAAGTCACGACATGTAGGTTACGCAAGTATTGTGCATGGTTCTTGTAGCAACCCAAACGTTCAGTTTTATGGAGGTATTTGTAGACTGCGTTAGGTAATGCTGTAGACTGCGTTAGGTAATGCTGTAGACTGCGTTATGTAATGCTAAAGGCTGCGTTATGGTAATGCTGTAGACTGCGTTAGGTAATGCTGAAGGCTGCGTTAGGTAATGCTGTAGACTGCATTAGGTAATGCTGAAGGCTGCGTTAGGTAATGCTGAAGGCTGCGTTATGGTAATGCTGTAGACTGCGTTAGGTAATGCTGAAGGCTGCGTTAGGTAATGCTGAAGGCTGCGTTAGGTAATGCTGAAGGCTGCGTTAGGTAATGCTGAAGGCTGCGTTAGGTAATGCTGAAGGCTGCGTTAGGTAATGCTGAAGGCTGCGTTAGGTAATGCTAAAGGCTGCATTATGGTAATGCTGAAGGCTGCGTTAGGTAATGCTGTAGACTGCGTTAGGTAATGCTGAAGGCTGCGTTAGGTAATGCTGAAGGCTGCGTTAGGTAATGCTGAAGGCTGCGTTAGGTAATGCTAAAGGCTGCGTTATGGTAATGCTGAAGGCTGCGTTAGGTAATGCTGAAGGCTGCGTTAGGTAATGCTGAAGGCTGCGTTAGGTAATGCTGAAGGCTGCGTTAGGTAATGCTGAAGGCTGCGTTAGGTAATGCTGAAGGCTGCGTTAGGTAATGCTGAAGGCTGCGTTAGGTAATGCTGAAGGCTGCGTTAGGTAATGCTGAAGGCTGCGTTAGGTAATGCTGAAGGCTGCGTTAGGTAATGCTGAAGGCTGCGTTAGGTAATGCTGAAGGCTGCGTTAGGTAATGCTAAAGGCTGCGTTATGGTAATGCTGAAGGCTGCGTTAGGTAATGCTGTAGACTGCGTTAGGTAATGCTGAAGGCTGCGTTAGGTAATGCTGAAGGCTGCGTTAGGTAATGCTGAAGGCTGCGTTAGGTAATGCTAAAGGCTGCGTTATGGTAATGCTGAAGGCTGCGTTAGGTAATGCTGAAGGCTGCGTTAGGTAATGCTGTAGACTGCGTTAGGTAATGCTGAAGGCTGCGTTAGGTAATGCTGAAGGCTGCGTTAGGTAATAATGCTAAAGGCTGCGTTATGGTAATGCTGAAGGCTGCGTTAGGTAATGCTGTAGACTGCGTTAGGTAATGCTGAAGGCTGCGTTAGGTAATGCTGAAGGCTGCGTTATGGTAATGCTGAAGGCTGCGTTAGGTAATGCTGAAGGCTGCGTTATGGTAATGCTGAAGGCTGCGTTAGGTAATGCTGAAGGCTGCGTTAGGTAATGCTGTAGACTGCGTTAGGTAATGCTGAAGGCTGCGTTATGGTAATGCTGAAGGCTGCGTTAGGTAATGCTAAAGGCTGAGTTATGGTAATGCTGAAGGCTGCGTTAGGTAATGCTGTAGACTGCGTTAGGTAATGCTGAAGGCTGCGTTATGGTAATGCTGAAGGCTGCGTTAGGTAATGCTGAAGGCTGAGTTATGGTAATGCTGAAGGCTGCGTTATGGTAATGCTGAAGGCTGCGTTATGGTAATGCTGAAGGCTGAGTTATGGTAATGCTGAAGGCTGCGTTATGGTAATGCTGAAGGCTGCCCCAAACCCTAATTGCCCAAAAATCAGAGGAAAAAAAATATATAGATGCCGTTCTTGAAAGTGAACTCAATAAGTGGTTCACCAGGAGAAGGAGGACTAGAGCAAGATTCATCAACCATTTCCATCACCACTAACGAAACCTGTACATCTTGACTTAATCATGGCGGCTTTGTTCATTGATTGAACAATTCACTAACTGGGAAACGTCTCAACCCAAGGATATATGGTTGTAGGGCTTCAGAGAGAGTAGGGCCTCGTAGGGCTTCAGAAAGAGTAGGGCCTCGTAGGGCTTCAGAGAGAGTAGGGCCTCGTAGGGCTTCAGAGAGAGTAGGGCCTCGTAGGGCTTCAGAGAGAGTAGGGCCTCGTAGGGCTTCAGAGAGAGTAGGGCCTCGTAGGGCTTCAGAGAGAGTAGGGCCTCGTAGGGCTTCAGAGAGAGTAGGGCCTCGTAGGGCTTCAGAGAGAGTAGGGCCTCGTAGGGCTTCAGAGAGAGTAGGGCCTCGTAGGGCTTCAGAGAGAGTAGGGCCTCGTAGGGCTTCAGAGAGAGTAGGGCCTCGTAGGGCTTCAGAGCTCATCAAATGTTTAATAAATGTAAACAAGGAATGAGTGAGGAATGACGTAGTTTTGTAAGTGGTTGGGCTACTGCTTAATGAGTCCTGACCAAGGCTGTCTGGCATTGATGAGGAGGATCTCAGAGCAGACATCCTTGAAAGTTGTATACAACCTTCTTCTGGTGATGAACACTGAACATAATCCGTGTATAACCTTCTACTCTTCAATTTTGAACACCAGCCCGTACAGTCTTCTACTGTTCAACACTGAACACACCAGCCTCATATAACCTTCTACTGTTCAACACTGAACACACCAGCCCCATATAACCTTCTACTGTTCAATATTGAGCACTATCCCCGTGCAAAAAAAAAAAAAACTTCTACTGTACAGCCTTGCCACCGAACTCAGTCTCTGGACATACTTCTCCTAGTGCTGAACACTGTCTCTGGACATACTTCTCCTAGTGCTGAACACTGTCTCTGGACATACTTCTCCTAGTGCTGAACACTGTCTCTGGACAACCTCTTTCTAGTATTGAGCACGACCTTCCCAACACTTTCCTAGTGTTGACTTAATATGCCGAGCCGCAGCTGCCTCGGACGAGAGCCCGGTAACCGCAACATCGCTTTATTTATAAACAAGGAGCGAGGCAAGCACGGACGTGGGTTATGAGAGCAGCCCGTCCTCTCCAGCGTTCGCAGCGTCACTAAACTGGTGTACTAAAATGCCTAAAACTAACCTAAACGAGGACACGCGGGTAGAAAACGGACCATCTCGTCAATTTTGCGAGCTGCTACGATTTCTAGTACATCAATTTTTAGCCTTAGGGGATTTGTTCGTCAAAATGCAATGTACTAAATGATATTGGTTCTAAGCTCATTAAAACAACAAGGGGCTCTAGAGCAGCGAGCTTCTTCTCCCAGCGCCTTAACGTGGCGGTCCAGAAGGGGAATGCTCACTGCATCCTTGGTTCTTACCCAGCGTTAGAGGAGTTCAAAGAAATCTACAGCCCCTAGAGAACAAACTCTCTTTGCTTTCCTTTTAATGTTCACATTTCGCAGTCATTTGTGTAACCTCACATAATGACGTGTATAATGACAAAAAAGGTTTGTCTAAGTTTTACAAATGTTTTGTTTGCTATCATTCATGTTATTTAATTCCAATTTCTTGAATTGAATTTCTTGAAATTCCAATTTAAATTAATTTAATTTGTCCAATTTCTTATAGTTGTAGGAAAAGTTTCGCTTCAATGAGGGCTTTACAGAAAAAATCTTACTTTCAAAATTGTTCCCAACAATTTCTCGCGAATTTCTGCGTACATAGTGTATTACTGATGTAAATATTGCATTTGAACACGAGGGGAGGACCGCCCTAGTGAGCAGAAACAAGGTCTCACACTTCGACAAAACTCCAGAAAACCTGGTTGTCCAGGTTTTCCTAGACAACCTCCAAGAAAAATGTTTGGTCGGTAACCAGACATTATATTGACTGTACGCCTTAAGGCCATGTTGTTCGACCCGTCAATCGTCTCTATTTCTGATCAGTTTTGAAACTGGCCGCGGCCTTAGGTGGATAAGGTGCTGTGTATGGTGGTATTTCGCAACTATGCAATTATTCAAAGCAAATACTTTGCTTTACCGATGTGCTAGAGTGAGGGGTTTTGAGTCCAATGACGCAGTGATTGCCGCTTCTAGAGACGCAGTCGCCTAGACACGTTCACAGCTGCACGGAGCATGTACCACAGAGCTACACTTCACACAGCAGGAGGAGCTCAAATCATAATACAGGATCAGAAGGTAAATGCAGACACCATGCATGCATGAGGGAGCACGGCTAGGAGGCTGGGCACAAGGAGGCAGGTCACGACTCAGGTGTGCTGAGCATACTGAAATCTTACACAGGTACCAAAGAATATACATTTGGCACGTAATCCAGCTCCGACTGTGACCTTGTAAACAGGTACTGACCTATCAGTGACCGTGGGGAAATTGTGACCTGGCTCCTTGTACCAGGTCGCAAGGAGCCAGGTCTAGTACATCATTAGGTGTACTAGAGGTAGATACAAGCATAGTACCCCTCACAGCAGAGACACATAGTAGTCTCGATGAGCCCTATAGTGACGAAAATACTAACAACTCAACAGTTGTTGGGACCCGGAAAAAGAACGGAGGCGCCAATCATTCAATAAATCAGATCAATGTGAGGAAATGAATCAACTTGCATTTTCCCCCGGGCACGGAAGCTGCAACGAAACATGCAGGTTCGAATCCTTGTCACGGCCCTTGTGGATTTGTTCATACATGGTGAGCTACGGCATGCAATAAACATCATAGTGGCGGGTATTTGTTTACAAAAGGACTTGTAACCTATGTCCGTGTGAACAATACTGAGAAGGTGCCACAAGATCTGTGTACCAATGAGTTGACAGGTATAAAAATGTCCACCCTACCACTGCCTGCTCATACCCACCTTACAACTGTCATCGTTTTTAGACTTGACTTTCACCAGGTCCACAAACTGACAGAACAATATGAGCAATGATAAAAGAATAAATCTTAGAGTCCTGGGTGATGGACAGCCAGCCCACCCCACAGAAGGAAGATTAGTCTATGCTCTCCTGCTGAATGCACAGGACATGGATGCCAGTACACACACATTGTACACAGTCTATTTAGTGACCACTGGGCACTGATTACCACCGTCGACATGAGCACGAGAAGGAAAGAGACAAATAAAATACAAAGGTTATCACTCGGAGCAGATATAAGGCCTCACTTCATAAACAAGATGAGTGACTGGTTCAAGGAAGACCAAATCCCTGAAGACATTTATAAATTTGTTGATGGCCTTAATAACCAAATTGAGGACTCTCTCAGAGTCCTGCGTTGTACGACTGGGCGAAGTAACCTTCAAAATGAGAAATTAAATGGTATGAGAAAATTAAATGGTATGAGAACGATTACATAAAGCTGCTCAATGCCAATGTAAGAGACATGAGTAGAGAGTATCGGAGACATCCCACTGAAAGTAACCAAGAGCTGTTTAAAACTGTGTGTCAAGTAGCCAGGGAAGAGAAGATTAAAGAGCGGGAAAGACAATAGCTTGACTTCACTAGCTCTATTGGAAGTTAAACAGCTGCAAGACAAGTGTGGGTGAAAAAATACAGATAGCTAAGGGGATCAGAACCCGGCCTGTGGCTGACAAAGACCCCAAGGGTAAGGCTGAGGAACTAATACACAAGTGGTGTGTATTAGTGATGCAGCATCCTCCTCCTCCTCCCTCCCTGCAGAACTAACCAGGGAACAGCTCTTCTGGTATAACTAGTCAACCCACCTAACCTACCGGCGCGGAGAGTCATGACTCTTAGGAAGCGTCAGTATTGCGTTGTTTCGAATTTCTTTCAACCACCATAAATTTTACGGCGGTTACGATGATGTTAAAAATTTAATGCCTTATTATAAAGTTTCTCCCTTCTCAGCTTCGGCCGTACTCCTGGGTCCTGTAGTAGTGGTCTACGTCCTCGACTCACAATCATGGGACCCCGGGTTCAATCGTCGGGCGGGACAGAAACAGTTAGGAACATAAGGCATTTACATGATGCCTTTATTCACCTAGCAACGAATAGATACCCGGGAGTTAGGCAACTGTTTATTTATTCCCTATCCCCTAAATTGGGAATTCAAATATTGCCTGCTGCTATGTAATGTAATATGTTATGTAATTCTCGTAAAGTATACTCAGCTTCATAATATTCTTGGGCATTTAATTGTATTAATTCTATGTATTACATGTGTTTGATCAGGAATGTATGCCAGTCAGTGTTTACATTTACTGGAAGCTTGGTGCAGTAACATCCTCACTCACAGTTGACTGTTGCAGGAGGAGGTGGCAGACTCGTCAGTGTGGCGTTCAGCAGGTGAACGCTCTATCACAGTTGACACACTCGCATGTGTCTTCCTGGCTGACATGTCTTCATGTCCCGCGATGACTGGCGTGTCCGTATGTCCTCGCCAGCATGACCAGTTATTAGAAGGAATCGGTGTCTCATGCAAGCAGGATATGGCAGGACAATGTCCATACGTGCTCTCTTCTCCTGCAGGAGACTCAGGCATACATACTGCATCTACCTCTGTTTTAGCTTCAGAGGTGGTCAAAAGGAACAGTGTTCCTCTGTCAGCTCGCATGAATCAGCTGCTGGAAGGCCTTAGTCAACCTGGAGACTCTCACAACCCTCCACAACCTCCACCGTGGCTCGACCGAGATATGTTTAACCGGGGAAGAAAGTTTTATCAGCGTTACCTTTTTTGTCTGAGTTTTGCAGAGTTGTTGTCCCTGGTGATGACGCTGAGCCCGGAGCGTGCACTGAAACCTCTGATCTACACGGGGCGCTCCGACACCCCGATCAAGGCCCTGAGACGCTACTTCTCTACGTTGCTGCACCTTATCACTTGGTTCACGGGAGATGTCTGGGAGCCGAGTCATCCTGCTCATAAGGATATATTGGCCATTCGCTCCATTCACTGCAAGTTAGCACAAACCTTCAACAACTCCGCCTGTAATGAGAAATTGTCGACTATCAGCGTTGCCAAGAAGGGACACGAAGAGCCGGCTGACTCTCTCAACTCGGCTATTCGTCAAGATCTACAGCGTGTGGCTGAAGACACACTTCCCACAGAGACCTCAGACGGTCCGGTTGTGTACATAAATCAGCTGGATATGAGCCTGACGCAGTACGCGTTCATGGGGCTGGTAGTGGCCCATCCGGAGAAGTTGGGTACTGGGTCCGCTACTGGAGAAGAGATGGCGGGTCTGATCCACTTCTGGCGAGGACTTGGCTGGCTCATGGGCATCGAGGATCAGTACAACTTCTGCAGCGGCACAGTGGCCGAGACGAAGGCATTGTGTCTTGAGGTGGAACGTCTTATTTTTATACCTCTCTTGGCCAAGGTCGACTGGAACTACGAGCACATGGCGACCTCTCTGATCAAGGGTATGAGTTACATTGTACCAGCCACGTCGTACCCCGCCATGTTCCGCTACTTGGCATACACCCTAGACATTGCCGTGCCCACCTTTGTCAGCAAGATGTCCTACCGCCACTCCTTCCACTACTGGGTGATGCGCTGCACCTTCGCCCTCATCCTCCTGGTGCCCTGCCTCCTGCTCCTCCTCAACCACATGTTCAACTCTCTCATTGATAAACTTCAGAAAGATAACAGCAAGTTTAAGCTGACAATGTCTGGAGGTTCCAAGTCTGTGGCGACGCCTTCTGACCACTGATGGTGTGACTCCTGACCACTGATGGTGTGACTCCTGACCACTGATGGTGTGACTCCTGACCACTGATGGTGTGACTCCTGACCACTGATGGTGTGACTCCTGACCACTGATGGTGTGACTCCTGACCACTGATGGTGTGACTCCTGACCACTGATGGTGTGACTCCTGACCACTGATGGTGTGACTCCTGACCACTGATGGTGTGACTCCTGACCACTGATGGTGTGACTCCTGACCACTGATGGTGTGACTCCTGACCACTGATGGTGTGACTCCTGACCACTGATGGTGTGACTCCTGACCACTGATGGTGTGACTCCTGACCACTGATGGTGTGACTCCTGACCACTGATGGTCTGACTTCTGGCCACTGATGGTGTGACTCCTGACCACTGATGGTGTGACTTATTTATTTATTTATTTATTTATGCATATACAAGAATGTACATAAGGAATGTGAGGATACAATTATGGTAATTACAGTCTTGTAAAGCCACTAGCACGCGCAGCGTTTCGGGCAGGTCCTTAATCTAAGAAAATTTTAAGGAGGTAAATACTTGCAAAATTTATAGACAAAAAAATGATAACAGATTACATGGAATGAAAAAAAAAAGATGAGAGAAAATTATAGGTACAGTATATTAAAGCACATAGATAGCTATGATTGATTGCAATGACAGCTTAAAATGGTAGTTGACAACAAATTGGTAGGCACAATACAGCAGAAACAATATAAGATTGATTGCAATGACAGCTTGAATGGTAGTTGACAAAAATTGGTAGTCACAATACAGCATATGGCTAGCACATAAAAGAAGACAGCAATGAACACAATGATAAGGTTGTTTGATATTACATAAAAATTAGGAGATTGGGTACCACTAGGTACAGAGCAAATTTAAAGCTCAGAGTAGGAAACTAAATAGATGAAGTTAGGTACTTTTTGGTTTTGCTTTTAAATAAGGCAAGAGTTTTACAGTTTTTCAATTCACTAGGGAGTGAGTTCCATAGACTAGGTCCCTTAATTTGCATAGAGTGTTTACACAGATTAAGTTTGACCCTGGGGATATCAAAGAGATATTTATTTCTGGTGTGGTGATAATGGGTCCTATTACATCTGTCCAGGGAGAGTTTCAGAGCATGGTTTGCATTTAAGAACAGGGTTTTGTAAATGTAGTTGACACAAGAGAATGTGTGGAGGGAGTTAATATTTAGCAAGTTTAGAGATTTAAACAAGGGAGCTGAGTGTTGTCTGAAAGCAGAGTTAGTTATTATTCTGATAGCAGATTTTTGCTGTGTGATGATGGGCTTAAGGTGGTTTGCAGTGGTAGACCCCCATGCACAGATACCATAATTAAGATAGGGGTAGATTAGTGCATAATATAGTGAGAGGAGAGCAGAGTTAGGAACATAATATCTGATTTTGGAGAGTATACCAACTGTCTTAGAGACTTTCTTAGTTATGTGTTGAATGTGGGTGCTGAAGTTGAGTCTCTTGTCTAGGAATAGGCCAAGAAACTTGCCATCATTTTTATTACTGATGTTAATGTTGTCTATCTGTAGCTGAATTGCATTTGATGATTTGCTTCCAAATAAGATGTAGTAAGTCTTTTCGATGTTTAATGTTAGTTTGTTCGTTGACATCCATAAGTGGACTTTTTTTAATTCATTATTCACAACATTATTTAGTGTATGTGGGTTGAGGTTTGAGTAGATAAGGGTAGTATCGTCAGCAAACAATATAGGTTTGAGAATATTAGAGACATTAGACAGATCGTTTATATATATAAGAAATAGAAGAGGTCCTAAGATGCTGCCCTGTGGCACTCCAACGGTAATTGGTAGAGTGGAAGAAGTTGTATCATTGATGGTTACATAGTGGTGTCTGTCACTAAGATAGGATCGGATGTAGTCAAGGGCAAGGCCTCGGATTCCATAATGCTGGAGTTTAAGTAAGAGGTAGTTGTGATTAACAGTATCAAAGGCTTTTCTTAGGCCAATGAAGAGTCCAATCGGAAACTCATTTTTGTCAAGGGCTGAGTAGATAATGTCAAGGAGACTAATGATTGCATCATTGGTACTCTTTTGGGACCGGAAGCCAAACTGGCAGGGGCTGAGTATGTCGAATTTTACGAGGTAGGAATAGAGCTGTTTGTAAATAATTTTTTCAAATATTTTTGATAGAATGGGTAGATTTGATATTGGTCTATAATTGTTTATGTCCGCCGGATTGCCTCCTTTATGGACTGGCGTTACTCTTGCTTTTTTGAAGATATCAGGGAAGGTGTGACACTCTATAGATTTGTTGAACAGTAGTGCTATGGGTGGGGCAAGGGCATGGGAGGCTCTCTTGTACACAATGGACGGAATTTCACTGGTGTTCCTTGCCTTGGTTTTTAGAGAGTGTATGATGGACACAACATCTGCCGGGCTGATTGGTGAAAGGAGAAGAGAGTTTGGATAGCCTGAGAGATATGTGTTAATATGTGTCTGAGTCTGTGGGATTTTACTGGCAAGATTAGCACCAACCGATGAAAAGAAACTATTAAATTCATTTGCCATTTCTAAATCAGTTGACGGTATATCCCCATCCTTGTAGAGTTTTATTTGGTTATGTGAGTGTTGTTTAGTTCCTAGGATACTAGAGATAGTTTTCCAAGTGTTTTTCATGTTGCCTTTTGCTTCATTGAATCTATTCACATAATATGCAAGTTTTGCCTTTCTTATGATACTGGTAAGCATTGATGAGTACCTTTTAGCTACTTCCTTTGAAACTAGGCCAATCCTAACTTTCTTTTCATATTCATGTTTCTTGTTGATTGAGTTGAGAATGCCACTTGTGAGCCATGGATTGTTTAATCTTTTATCAGTTACTTGCTTTGTAAGAAGGGGACAATGAAGGTTGTAGAGGCTTAGAGTTTTGGAGAGGAAGAGGTTAGCTAATGAATTTATATCATGGGTATTATTGAATTCAGAATCCCAGTTAATATTGTGAAGTGCCTCTGTAAGATTGTCTAAAGCTGATTCACTGTGTAGCCTAAATGAAAGTTTCTTGCTTTTTGGTGGTGTTATGTCCATGTTCGCTATGAGAAAGGTAGGATAGTGGTCAGTTGTTCTGTCGTAGATTATACCAGATACAAGGGGAGCTGTTATGTTTGTCCATATGTGGTCCAAGGTAGTGGCTGATGTTTGAGTGACTCGGGTAGGTTTGGTGATTGTGGGGATTAGCATACAGGAGTTCATGCTGTTAAGGAAATAGTCAACTTGAGAGCAATTTTGTTGACCCAGGTCAATATTAAAGTCTCCTCCCAGAATGATGTGGTTTTTGTTGAGATTGTTGTTTATAATAAGATTCCTTAGGTTGTCTGAGAAAGAAGCTATGTTAGTATTAGGAAATCTATAGATGGCTCCAATAGTCAAAGAGGATTTAAGGGATTTAATTGTAAACTGAGCAAAAGTATATTCACAGTAGTCATCTCTGTCACTAATAACACTGTTGCAGATAAATGTATCTAGGTAATATATAGCTGTGCCACCACCTTTTTTATTAGGCCTACAGTTATGAATGGCTTTATAACCAGCTAAGTTGTAGAGTTGGGTATAGTCTTTATTTAGCCAAGTTTCTGTTAAAATAATGAACGATAGGTTAGTACCTAGTGCTGTGAGTAGTGCATTTAAATCGTCAAAATGTTTACCAAGTGATCTAACATTTGGTTATAAACTGATAGATAGGTGCTATTTTGGAGTTTGTTTTTAGCCTGGTGTGCTGTGAAATACTTACAATAATGATGATCAATGTGCTGGTTGGTATAGATATGAGACAGAAGATTTTGATCAGGATCAATATCAGTGTGCATAGAGATGCAGAGGGATCACGATACAAGATACACGATAAAGCAAAACACAAGAATAAGAGCAGATACAATAAAATAGTAACAATTTAGAAGTAAAATAAAGATCCAATAGATAGCCAGGGAGGACACACAAGTTACATAAAATAAAACACAAAAAATCAGTAGAGACTGACAATATAAATGTAAAATAAAAATAATAAGAAAAATAATAATCATAAAAAAAATGATCTTGAAGATAATTAGCTTAGTAATGGTTAATTAACAGGGTAATAAATACTAATACTTCTGGCCACTGATGGTGTGACTCCTG